CACCGGGCGGCTCGTCCTGCTGCTGACGGCGCTGGGCGCCGTCCTCACCCTCGCCGTGGTGATCGTGGGCGTCCGAGGTGAGTGCCGGGGAAGGGAGGGGCGCCGGGGGGGCTTCCAGGGCGGCGAGGGCCGCAGAGGGGCGCGGGGCGCCGGCGGACCTGGCACGGCTTCGGCCGCTCGCTGCGGCGCCGGGCGGGGCGCGGGAGGTCCGGGCGCGGGTCCCGCTGCGCCACGGCGTCCCGTTCGCAGGGCGGCCGGCCCAGCCTCCCGGTCCGGCCCCCGCACGCGGTGCTGCTGCGAAGGGAAGTGCGGGGGCCGCGGAGCTGGGGAGCCGCCTGAGCCCCTCGCGGGCAACCGGGCGGGCTGCCGATGCGCTACATCCAGAAGGGAGGCAGTGGCGAAGACCCGGTGCTCCCAGCGAGCGGGCGGGCGAGGTGCAGGCGGGCGTGCCTGGGCTGAGCGAGGAGGAAAAGGAGGGGGGTGGGGGCACTCCAAAGGCAGGTGCCTTCCCCACCTCGGTGCCCTCCAGGAACTTGGACTCTGGTCCCATCAGCCCCAGCTGGCATGGCTAAGAGGCAGGAATCCTGCAACATGCGGCTCAGAATATCTGGGGAATGCCCAGTTGGGGAAGGCTAAGCCGGGGGAAGAGGCTGGGAGCTGAGGGGTAAGCATGTGACATGGAAGGGAATCACAATGTCTCAGGAGGGATGGGTTCCCAGAGGCCATCCAGTCCACCCCCCAGTCCCTTGCAGGAGATCCAGCGCTGTAGCCTCCTCGAGAGACAGCGGCCGGGGCTGCTGCAGGCGGGCAAGGAGTGCGTAAAAGAAGGCCACCTCTGCAGATCACCCCGCGGAGAGTGCGTGTGGGAGGCACGCCAAGCGTTGGTGCCCAAAGGGGACGCGCAAACGTGCGTGGCACCCTCCCCGGTTCTGCTCTGTCCCTCCCAGGCATCCAGCTCGGCGGAGAGCAGCGGGGGACCCGCGAGGCCCTGCAGAGCTTCAACCAGACGTTCTTCAGCCAGCTCAGCGGCCTCAGGCACAGGCGTGAGTGGAGGCGGGCTGGGCAGGACGGCCCCCTCCCGTGCCGGGCAGTCCTGGTGGCACGGAGAAGGCGGCACAGTGTGTTGGCCCACACCAGCTGCCCGATATGAGCCTCCACAGTGCCCAGAGTGGTGGGGGAGCGACCCCTCAGGTCTTTGGGAAGGGGTGGGGCTGGCGTTTTCCTCAGTTTGCCTCGTGCCCCCACTCTAGGAAACAGCACGGAGCAGAAACTGGCGGCGCTGTGGAAGACGCTGCAGGGTCATGGCAGCAAGATAGAGAAAGGTGGGGTGCGGCGGCCGCACGGAGGGGCGGTGGGAGGAGGGCCCCTTGCAGCGAGCCCTTCCGGAGAGGGCGCCTCACTCCGGGGCAGCGGCCGGCACCCTCCGCTCCTCTGCCCGTTTGCCAAGCCGGAGCCGGCCCCCCCCGCCACCACCCGCACGCACGCGTGCGAATGCGAGCCGATGTGTGGTCCGGTTGCTCCTCAGTGCGTGCGTGTGCGGGCCTGGCCAGAGCGGTGGCAGCTCAGGGGACGCCTCCGTCGGCGTGGCGCCCTTGCCGGGCCGGTCCACACGTGTCCCACGTCCCTCAATTTTGGCTCCTCCCAGACCAGAAGCGCCTCCGGGTGCAGCTCTCCAACCTGCAGCAGGACACGAAGGAGGTCCATTGCGAGCTGGTGGAAATGAAAAGCAACGGTCAGTCTCCACAGCAGGGCCCGGCGAGGCCGCTTGGATCGGGTTGCGGGGGTCCCTTCTTTCCCGGCCGGGGATCCTCGTCTCCCCCTCCCTTCCTGCCACCACCGTGGTCTGGCCAGAGCAAGAGGCGGGTGGAGAAGGAGGCTGTGATGGGGTGGGGGTCGGCATGGGGTGGGGGGCTCCTGCCTTTGGGTTGCTGCTCCGTGCAGGCCGGCAGGTGCCTGAACGTGCCGGCCTGGCTCTGAACCGAGCAGGTCCCCCCCAGGATGCAATAGGCTTTCTTCTCCACGTCCCAAAAGATCAATGGACCCCCTTTTCCTATCAATTGTAAAGGAAAAATACAACAGAAATGCTTAAACACAGTATATAAAGTGCTCCAAACAAGAACGATTAAGGGACAGTAAGAAACGGCAAATCAGCAAGAGTCAGCAATCAGCGGGCTGGGTGAGGAAATTAATTTTCAGTGGGAAAAAAAGTAGTCAGAAAAGTTGGCATATTTGTAGGGAAGAGCTTGCTTGGTAGAGTTTCTCCTAGGGGGGCCACTGATGAGTAGGCCCTGCTGCCTCTGGAGGCTGCTGCCACCTCATCGTGGGATGGAGCTTGGAGAGGGATCCATCAGATGATTCGTAGCGATGGGGGCAGCCATGTGTGATTGTGCCCTGATCTTTTCTCCCCTCGGACAGGGACCAAAAGTGGCTGCTGCCCCAAGGGCTGGCTGGCCTTTAAGGAGAGCTGCTACTGGATATCCAGCGTGACAGCGTCTTGGAACAATGCGCAGAGAGACTGTGAGAGGAAGCAAGGCCACTTGGTGACCATCAACTCGCCTGAGGAGAAGGTGGGGGGTCCCCTGGCAGGAGCCCTCGAGAAGGCTCCCCAGTTCTCTGCTTCCAGGGAAGGGGCTGCGGGGTGGGGCAGAATGGCTGGGTTATCCGCACATGTGTTTGTCTGGTAGGTGTTTGTGAACCAGCGCAAGAAGCCGAGGCACACGTGGATCGGCCTGACCGATGTCAGCGGCATCTGGAAGTGGTCGGATGGGACCTTGTACTCCTTTGACCGGGCGTGAGTTCAAGTCGTCAGCCCCTGTGGACCCCCCCCCCCCCCCGGGAACGCAGGCCCCTCGGCACCGCTCTCGCACCCCCTCGCTGGGCTGCTTTTCTGGCCATGCTTTTCCTGCTTTGCGCGCATGACTTCTGTGCTTCTTGAGAGAGACGTGCAGAGCGATATCGTCCCTTGAGAATTTACGGTCAGGGTTTCATTTCAGGAACGGGGACGGCACGGTATGCCCCTTGTTGACACTCGTACACTCAATGCGCTCATACAAAGAACGAAACCCAGACTGGATAGCACCCCGGGATTGTGGCCATGCTAGCTGGGGATGCTGGGAGTTGTAGTGTAGCACAACGGGGTGGCACCAAGCGGGGAAGGCTGCTGTGAGACAGGGAGACCCCGGCAGAGTAGCGGAAATTCAGCAGCAGGCCTGTCAGGATTTTCCAAGAATCGGGGCATCCCAAAAGTTCTGCCAGAGAAATCTGCCTCAGCCGAGAGCTTAATTAGTATTAACTAATGCTATTAATATTAACAGTAATCGTATGAATTAGGATGGTGGTCACTGCTATTCTTCCGTAATTTTGTTCAGGCGGGCTGAGGACTACGACCTCCAACATCCCTCAACAAATAGCGATGGTGGCTGGGGCTGATGGGAGTCGGAGGCTTACAGTGTCCCACCTCTGTGTTTATTTCTCATATATCGGAAATATTTTTATGGCAGCGCTCAGCCAAAAAGGCTCCCAGAGAAGCGTATAGAATCCATAACACAACATGATCCCCCATCATGGTCTGCAACCTTAAGGAGACACGACACGCGAGGAAAAAGGGGTGGCGAGGGAAGAGGAAAGCAGCAGTTTGTTTAGCTGGACTGGCGGAATGCCCCCCCCACCCCCCCATCTGCAGCACAAACTGCCAGAACAGGGGCTGGGGCATCAAAGCGCAAATACTTTGAAGCCACAGGGAGGGCATTTCTCGCCGAGCGCCTGCCCCCTCCCGGCTGGCCACCCTCTGAGCCCTGGCGAGGTGGCCCCGGACAGCTTCTGCCGTGACCGGGGCACCGGCCTCGAGGGCCACAACTGCCCCGGCGCGTCTGTGGGGGGCCTGCCGTGTGGCCGGGCCCTCGGCAGACGGGTGCCGGGGCCCGGTGGACACACATCCTCCCGCGCTTGCTGGTGTGGACGCATCCCAGACACGCGGACGGAGAGGCGGCCAAGGGGGCTCTCCGGACCCTCCCGCCCAAAGCCGCCCCTCACAGGCATCGCCCGCCCGAGGTGCCTCTTGCGGCGTCCGGAGGAGGTGCGCCAAGGGGCGCCCGGAGAGCTGCGGACGCGTGCCCTGCCCCCCAGCAGCTGACGCCCCCCGCCCCACTCTTCTTGCAGGGACTGGAGCCAGGGCCAGCCGGACCACTGGTACGGCCACGGCCTTGGGGGAGGGGAGGACTGCGTGGAGATGTACCCCAACGGCGACTGGAACGACAGCCACTGCTCCCTGCTCTACTACTGGATCTGCGAGATGCCGCTGAAGAGCTAGGAGGGCGGAGGGCCCGGCTCCGCCTCGCCAGGACGCCCACACCGCTGACCCCCTGCTCCACGTGCATGCATCACGCCACTGCGTTTCCCATCCTCCCCTGGCCACGTGGCCGCAGCCCCGGGAAGGGTCGGACGCAGGGGATGCTTAGACGCTGCATGGATCGGGGGCGGGAATACGCTTTTGCACTTCGAATTCGAGTGCAAGTCAATGAAACGTCACTGCCGCTCAGAGAAACAGGATGCTTCTTGTCCTGTGCGAATGCCACTCTTTCTCACAGCTTCTCTTGCACGTTTGTGGTCCCTGCGACAGCTGCAGCCCAGGAGGCGGCTGCGGCCAGCGCCTCCCCCGGCTGGGATAGGATGGATAGGCTGCAGCTGAGTTCCAGCTTTGGGGGTCCGAGTCCAAGGATTATGAAAATAAAAGTGGCTGTAAAATTAAACTTCTTTTTAAAAGAATTAAAGTGATTTTTTAAAAAAAGTCTTGCCTTTTTTGATGGGGCTGCCCTCGGGCTGGGTTAAGGCGGCTCTGGGGCATGGGGTGGGGAGCGAAGCCTCCCTTCTGCCTGGAGAGGCCCACCAAGCGCTCCTGGCCCAGCCCCGAGCGTGCGGCCCGGTTCAGTCCTGCAGCATTGCCAGGCCGAGCGAGCGAGCGAGCAAGCGAGCAGACCTTTTATCCACGTTAGCAAACAACATGCATTTATACAGGGAACACGAATTTTGAATGAGCTCAAATGTTAAAAATCCCCGAAGCTCAAATCTTCCGGCTTTGAAAAGCAAACTCAGAATGAACTGGGCTTGCGGGACGGAACGTGCAGATGTTCACGGCGGGCGGCGAGGCATCTGGGTGGCCAGGCCTCCTGCAGAAGCGGCGGTGGGCGAGCGATCCGGCTGCCTGGCCCCATGGTGGGAGGATCGCTCCGACCCCGCGGCTGGGGGTGCCCACCTGGGCCCAGTCCCTGGCTTCGCAGGAGGGGCCGCGGAGCAGCCCCGGAGAAGGCGCTGGCGGGGCGGGAGGGGGCGAACGGGGTGCAGGGGGTCCTGGCCGCACCCCTGCCTCCCTCCCGCCTTGCTGGAGCGTGGCGGCGAGGGGGCCAAAACGGGCCCTCCGGGGGCAGCGGGGCTGGAGGAGCACAGGTGAGCGCGCCCGGCTCGGGCCCTTTCGCGCGTCTCTTTCAGTATGAACTCCGGCAGCAGCGCCCGCACCTCCTCGCCCCGAAAGGAGCAGAACTTTTCCCGGGAAAGCAGGCAGCACGGGGGGGGGGGGCTGCCCCACGCGCCCCGTCTCCCGCAGAGCCCCTCATCCGTGCTGCCCATGGCAGATGAAGCGCCCGGCTTCATGCCTCTGCCACCGAACAGAGAAAAGGTGGGAGGGGGTCCTGCACCTTCTGTTACTCGAGACGAGAAACTGCTTTGTCCCAGTGTAATCGCCTTCTTATTCATTATTAAGTAATTGATTAAAACGTTTGTATGCTGTCCTTTGCTGCAGCCTCAGGAGGGCTTACAAAAACATCAGTATAAACAACAACAAAATTCTGAATGTGGAAACCTGCCCAGGGACCTGTGATCATTCATATCACTGGACTCCTTGCTCAGCAGCCACCCAGACACCCGAAGCCTCTGCCACCCTTCACAGCGTGTTTCTCGATGTCACATTTTCATTGTCCGACTGGTTTTCCATCCTGTCTTCGGTACCCGTTCTCATTCACACCCCATCACTCACTGCCCTGAAACGGTGTATGTGAGCCACAACTTATAAAAACTCTGCATATGCTCTGGAGCACTCGTAGTTGGTTCTGTATACTGGCTACTCATTAGCACTGGTGTTTTCTCTGTCGGGGTACCCGGCAGCTTCCTGAGAAAGTGAGTGCCTTCCAGGTGAATCTGAACATTCGTTCTCCTGGTCCTTTTCCCTGGCGCCAGCTGCCCCTCCCGACGGCTCCCAAAGCAATGATGTGAGAAAGCAATTTGTCTTTTAAACACGCAGCAAAAAACCCACCAGCATTTGGAAGCAGGAAGAAACGTGCCGCTACCAATGTCAAACAGATTTCAGGTGCTGCTATTACCATGTTTTTCTCTCTCTTTTCAGTATCCTATTCTCTGGAAAAGCAGAAAAGAATCTCAGAATCCTAGAATAGCGGAGTGGGAGGGACCTACAAGGCCATCCAGTCCAGCCCCGGCTCAGCGCAGGGCGGCAGGCTAAGGCGGCCCTCCCAGCGGGCTGCCCCACTGCCCCGGAAGGGCTCCAGGGCGGCAGAGCCCACGGCCTCTCCAGGTACCGGGATCCACGGCCGACCTGCCCCAGCCACCGGGCGCTTTGTCCAGATGTCCGGCCGGAACATGGCCGCCTGCAGCCCGAGCCCCTTGTTCCGTGCCCTGCACTTGGGGGGTCGCAAGGATGCCCCGTCCTTGCCCTTGCGACAGCCCTTCGAGGGCGTGCAGAGAGCGATCGTGCCTCCACGGCCGCCGCGTCTCAGGGCCGAACACGCCCAGCGCTTTCCCCCTCTCCTCGTGGGGCTTGTTTCCAGTCCCCGGATCGTCCCTCCTCCGACGCTCGTCCAGCTTCCCTGCGTCTTCCCTAAACGCTGCTGCCCAGAACTGGACGCGGGACTCCGGAGACGGACCGAGCATCCCAAGCGGAGGGGAGGTGATGCGGCTCTCAATGGGGCCCAAGGCGGCCTGTGCCCTTTGGCGGCCGCTTCGCATCACGGGCTCCCGCTCGGCCCAGATCTGCGGCAACCCCCAGGCCCGTCCCACTCGCCGTCCCGTTCGCCAGGCAGCCCCACCGCGTGGCGACGCCTTCGCTTCCCCTTCCCCAGGTGCAAACCGGGGCATTTCCCCTCCTGGACGTCGCTCTCGGCCCAGGGCTCCAACCCACCAGGCTCGCCCCGAATCTCCGTCTTCCGGGAAACGTGCGTCCCACCCAGTGCCGTGTCATCTGCCGATCTGCTCCGCGCTCCGCGCTTCCTCGTCCAAGCCGTTCAAAAGACGCGGAGGCGGCTGGCCCGGGAAGGAGCCCGGCGGCAGCGGGCGCCTCTCCCCGGTCTGAGGAGGTGCCGCCCGGGGGCGGTTGTGCGGCCGGCTGTGGAGCCGCCTGGTCGCTGCTTCGTGGCCCACCTTGGGCCAGCTGGCTGCTTGGCCCGTCAAGGCCCTTCGTTGCAGCCTGTGCTCAGGTTATGAACCCCAAGAGGACCCTGACCGTTTCCCCTTGCAGCTGTTGGGAAAATTTGGATAAATCCTGTCTGAAAAGCATTACTCCTGTGTGCCTTTGCATTGTGGGATCAAATCCTGTGCTCCTTCCCAAAACCAAGCGGTCACTGTTTAAAATGGCATCCCCCCCCCCGCTCCTTTCTCTCCCCTTTAGCGGTGGGCTACAGCAGACAGGCCATTTTAGCCCAAATATCCACTGTAAATAGTCATGGTTGGAATTCAGTTTACGATCATCTTTTGATAGCCCAGAGGGCTTCATGTGCCCTGATCATGCAGAATGTTTAGAGTCAAGATAAGGGTCTGAGCTTATCATGAATAGTTTCTAGTAGCTTGAATTTGCATATCTGTGCAGACCCGGAGATGGGTTCAAGCTACTGAACTAAAGTGTCAATACAGGCAATTGGCAATATTGTGATCTCATTGTTGCAGTGTGATTGACTGACATTCCTTTATCTGTTCTATATGCGATGACCTCAGAAACTTATTGTAATCTCTGCTTTCTGTCAGCAATTGCCCTGTACCTGCGTACCTATAAATGCCCTGCAATGGTGTTGAAGCTTTGCAGCAGAGTTCAGCATGCATTATCGCGAGTACCTTGGGAACCTTGGGGTAAATACAATAAAGCCTGAGATGGTCTGGACGCTTGGTCTTTCCCACCACCCGAGTTTTATTCCCTCTTCTCAAATTGAGATTCCGGGATTCTGACACAGCACCGGCAAAAGCTTTAACTCTGACTTTTAGAGTCGTTGAAACTGAATTAGTGCAGAAACACTTTTAAGGAACATGATATGAAGGTGGTGATATGAATCCTAAATTTGTTTCAAAACATTACAGTAGGGTTTTTTTTTTACCTGAAGACCCATTACTTCTTTCTGTTCATGCTCAGAGGCACAGTTCTCCTTCCTTCTGTCTTTCAACCCTCCCCCTTCTCTGAGACACTGCTTCTCAGAAAAGAGGAAGAACAATCCAGAGTATAAAAGGGTGGAATAACCAGCTGGTTTTCTGCTGCAGCGCAGTCCACTTCGCCTCGCCCGGGAAGCAGCAGCACGGAATCGAGCCCTTTCATGCCGGATCGTTTATCTGAGGCGTCACAGGTAACCGTGCCTTCTTGTCTTCTGCTTTCCGGGTTGCTCTGTCCCGCCGTCTGTTTAAGCCACATCCACTTTCGGATGGGGCCCTGCAAGGTACGGGGTGGCGCACGGAGCCCATGTGCCTGGCCGCAGATTGGGCACATCCTGCCCCTCCCTCCGCCTCAGACCTCCCACAGGTGTCCCAGGAGGAGGAGGGAGCGCATGCGTCCCCTGCCCGTGTGTGCGCACGGCAAGCCCTTCCGGGCTCTCCGCAGCTCTGTGATCACTTAGCAGCCCACTAGCCAGTGACTGGTGAAGAGTCCCTCCCCAAGACACAAGCAGGTGGACCCATTCGGCAGGAACGCCCCCCCCCCCCGCCCCAGGTGCCGGCCGGGGCTGCTGGCAGCCAGTCTGAGAAATGCCCATCTCTTGGAAGCCGGCAAACCCCCAAGGAACAGTGTTTGGAAAAGGGGATCATTTCCCCCTTTGGCAGCATGGTCCCCAAGGGCTTGCTCGGGGGGGGGGGGTGTCTGTGCCCCATGCCCCCCCAGCTTTGGAAGTGTCCGGCCCAGGCCAGAATTGGGGGGCACTGAAAGTGAGAGCGGATTTTCCCGGACAGGGGCTCTGAGTTGGACCACTGTGGACGGCAGCGCTCGGCTTTTGACATGGGCTTCAGAAGGTTAGGACCCCCTCTTGGCTGGGGTGGGGGGCTCCACAGCCATGTCCTTTGCTGCCTGGACAGATTCCCTCAGCCTCTTCCAAGCCCCATTTCCAAAACGGAGGTTTGAATTCTGACAACTCGGCTGAGCTCCCGTCAGTGGGGAGAGCCCCCCCCGGTTTTGTGGCTCCCCCAGATGCTCACCCCTTGGGGCCAACAGCAAGTGCGAGGGGGCCCTCGGAACCTGTGGTCGCCCCAACTCCCCCAGAATTTTCCTTAAGGGGGGGGGATTGAGTGAGTGCCTCCCAGCACCTTTTCTGCCGGATCCTCAGAGCTTTTTCTGGCGGGGGGCTTGTGTGTCACTGGGTTATCCTGACCTGCAAAAGTGTGGGTGGGTCCATGGGCCCCACAAAGCTTCTGCTGCAGAGAATCCTTGAATAGTTAAGGGTCTCCTCTTTCTCCGGCAGTTAACGCCGGCTTTTCAGAAGAGCACAGTGCCGGCTTTGGGCACCCACACCGTGTGTCCGGGAAGCACGCTAGCCAAAACGCAGCGCCGATGAGCCCTAGCCGGGCTTCCTGAAGGCCCATGGCGCCCACCTGGCCTGGGAATAGCCCACCTGGTGTCTGCCCTACCCCAGGGCAGAGGTGGCCCGACCTGAGGGCCGTGGGGGATTCCGCTCTGATGCAGCGCCCGCTCCCTCGGCTTCTGGGAAGCGCCGCTTTTGAACCCAAAGGACAAATAATATTGACAAGGCAAAGGCCACACTGGACGGCGGGGGGGCGGGCGGGCGGGGGGGACAGAGTGAGGGGGCGGCTGAGAGAGGAGCCAAGGACCGGCACAGAGGATTTGCGCCCCCGAGGGAGAAAGAGGACAGTAAGGCAGGACCGACCCTGCGTGGCTCTTCCACGTGCGTTCCACCTGTGTGGGGCCAGCCAGGTAGCGAGAGGAAAGGTGGGAGGTTGTGGAGGTTTCCCTTTCAAAGGTGTGGAAAAATCTGCCAGAAATTTGCTTGGTTGGAAAACTAGGCACTTTTGGAGAGATCAGACGTGGTATTTACCCACCATGTGTTCATTCAGGTGGATAATTTCTTGCAAATGCAAATCGCAGCAACTCCCGGAAGGTAAGCCGCAGGATCTGGCTTCCCCCTGCAGCGGGCTGGAAAATGTGGGGTCAGAAATCGAATGACCCACCAGTATCAGAGAGCCAAACTTGTGCATGGGAAGTGCATTTTTGCTGTTCTGGTCGGGAAAACCTTATGCTGCATTTTCTTTTTTTAAACGGTTAAAGTTTGGAGTGTGTCTGTGCGTGTTGCCTGTTGGAGGGGTCATGTAGTGATTTCGGGAGGGTGCGGCTGGCAGGCCGATTCAAGCATGGACGGGCGACATTTTTACTTAAATAACTGAGCCAGTGTCAGTTCCAAGGCCAAATTTCATTTCAAACTGAAATGTCAAGACAAAAAATACATTTCTAACACTAAAAAGGCAATTCTGGATGTTAACATCTGCATTTGCAGCTTGGGTTGTTTAGGAATGAGTGATCCCAACTTAATTTTGAACCAAATTTTGTCTGGGACGAGGGACTGTAATGAAATGCGTTACGCTGGGTTGCCACAGTCAGCTCCTCTCAGTCTAAAGCCCGCTGCTGTTTACCTATTCTTAAGGGGGAGATCGTTAATTAGAACATGTTTGTTCACCTTCCCAATTTTGTGTGGTTGCTCATAAGTGAAATGCTGAATTACAAGATGACCTTTGCCACAAAGCTACGCATTTGGATGTTGTGTGACCCGGTGCGGCTTAAATGCAAGCTCCCAGCCCTGCTGTTTTGCTTAATGCGATGAGGAAAACATACAGGGGCACAGAATTCCTGCCCTTCAAAGGAATCTCCAGAGGTGTGGAATGCCCACTTAATCAACTGGCAATAATCCTGCCCGGGAAAGCGAGAGCCTGTGGCCACTCTGCTCGATCGCAGGAGGGCTGGGCCGTCCGTCTTGCCCACACCCGAACCCATGCCTCTCGGCCACGAACCCGCATCTTCTGATTCTAGATCGCTCCTGACCTCTCCAAACCACGATGATCCAAGAGTATCGCAACGTCAAGTCCCTGGGCTCAGAGGCTGAAGACGATCTTGATCCCAGAAGAGGTATGGGCTGTGGGTCGGTCTGTCTGTCCATCTGCCTCTCCTCCGTCCTTGGAGACCACCTCTGTGACTTAATTTAGGAGAATGCAAGAGCCACAGGGCCGCGTCAGACCAAACAGGCCTCAGATGGTTCAGGATCGCGCTTGCCCAGCAACAGGGGTCTGGAATCCCCCACACTGTGCCTGGAATCTCCTGGAATCCCATTTCCGAAGGTCCCTGGAATCCCCTAACCCAGTGACGGCGCACCTTTTAGAGACCAAGCGCCCAAACTGCAACCCAAAACCCACTTATTGATCGCAAAGCGCCAACACTGCAATCAAACCTGAACACTGAGGTTTTAGTCTAGAAAAACCACCTCACAGCCAGGCCAAGCAAATATATATATATCCTTGGCAGCGCACTGACCAGCCATGCGAAAACTCAGCCGAGTTGCAGCTACTGATTTGTGGCTCGTGACATCGCCTGGCGCCGCTACTCCTTTCTGAGCATGCACATGGCCCCTGTGTGCGCTGTTATCTGATGCTCGGCTGCTGAGGCGATGTGGCTCGCATGTCAACAGAGAGGGTTCTGCATGACCACTGTGCTGTGCGTGCCATGGGTTCGCCACCACTGGCCTAACCCTACCCTGGCGCACTCCCTTAACCCTAATATGGGGCTAAAGTTCCACTGAAAAGAGGCCGATTTTGAAAAAGCCGTCCTGGAGTAGCTTTTTCTGCGCAGCTCATCATTTCTGACCCTTCTAAACACATTCCAACCATCAAAATCATGCCAGGACACCTCGTTTTCCTAACCCTAACCCTACCCTAGTGCACACCCTTGACCCTAATATGGGGCTAAAGTTCCACTGAAAAGAGGCCGATTTTGAAAAAGCCGTCCTGGAGTAGCTCTTTCTGCCCAGCTCATCATTTCTGCCCATTCTAAACACATTCCAACCATCAAAACCATGCCAGGACACCCCCTTTTCCTAACCCTAACCCTACCCTGGGGCACACCCTAACCCTAATATAGGGGTATACTTCCCCTGGTAAGAGGGCGATTTTGAAAAAGCCTTCCTAGAGTAGCTTTTTCTGCGCAGCTCATCATTTCTGCCCATGCTAAACACATTCCAACCATCAAAATCAGGCCAGGACACCTCCTTTTTCTAACCCTAACCCAGTGACGGTGAACCTTTTAGGGACCGAGTGCCCAAACTGCAACCCAAAACCCACTTATTTATCGCAAAGTGCCAACACTGCAATAAAACCTGAACACTGAGGTTTTAGTTTAGAAAAAATACCTCACAGCCAGTCCAAGCAAATTATATATATATATATATCTGCTTGGCATTTCACTGACCGGCCATGCGAAAGCTCGGATGAGTCGTGTCTAACGAGTCATGGCTTGTGACATCATCGCCTGGCGCCACTACTCCTATCTGCACATGCGCATGGCCCGTATGCGCGCTGTTATCCGATGCTCGGCTGCTGGGGCAACGCGGCTTGCGTGCCGACAGAGAGGGCTCTGCATGCCCGCTGTGGCACGCGGGCCATGGGTTGGGCACCCCGTCCTACGCCGTCTCCGGGGGAGAGGAAGTGTGCCGGGTGAGCGCTGCTCCGAGGCTGCCCCCTGCAGGCCGTCCTGGGGGCGGGGGGCGGAATGAAGTGCGTGCTGGGGCTGGCTTGTCCTGGAGGGGCGCTCCGGCCCGCCGGGTCTGACAGAGGCCGTGCTCCTGGGGGAGGCAGCACCGCAAGCATCTCTGGGGAACCGGCCAGAGAGTGCCGGCTGCTGGACAGCGGAGAAACGTAACATGCAAAATGGCAACGACTGCAGTCGAAGGCCTGGCCTTTCCCCAGGGGCGGCGCATCGCGACGAGCGCCGGACTCCAGCACTGGCCGCTGCCCCCAAGCAGCAGCCCCGCTGGGCTGCCAGCCGGTGATGCCTCGAGGTGCACAAGGGGCAGCCCTCCGTCCCCCTGGAAAGCCCCACATCCCCACGGCCGTCCCCGCCCCATCATCCTCAGCACACAGACGTCTGGACGGCTGCCCCGAATGTGCGCGCTCGCTCTTGACATTGCGTGTCTCCCGGCCCCCGCAGGGTACGCCCCGTCCCCGTCGTGGGGGCGAGGGGCCTGCTCCGGCCGGTGCCTGGTCTGCTTCCTGACGGGCCTCCTCTGCGTCGTACTCATCCTGACCGTCGTGTTTGCCTCCACGGGTGAGTGATCCAGCGTGGGGCGCGTCAGCGCGGGTGTGGGTGGCGCACGAGGGAAGGGGCTCCTGCTGGGTGGGAACGCGCACCGCCGGTGGAAGGCACAGCTCCGGAAGGCCGGTGGGAGAGGGGAAGGACGGAGTGGCCCAGGTGGGAAACCAGGCGCGGGGGAGCAGACGGCCAGCGAGAGAGGCGAGGAGCGAGCGAGCCACGGGCGGGAGGGAGCCACGCGCAGCATTTCACCTGACCACTCTGCCTCCGTCGGGCACATGGGCCCGTGCCCGGGTGGTGGTCGTGGGGCGCCCTCCATGCTGGGCGGGGGGGGTGCAAACAGGCACCTCTTCACCTGGTTAGGACTTGAAAAAGTCATCCTTGGGCAGCCGGTTTCTCCCCTTGGGTGCGCAGACGCCAAAGGTCGCGGGGTTCTTGCCCCTTGGAGGCAACACTCTATTCTTCCTCGTTGTTGCTGTGGGAAACCAGATCCTGAGCAGCGCGTGCAAGCTGGGGTGCCGCACGAGGGTGGGTGTTGTGTTGGCGGCAGCAGACCCTCCGTGTCCTCAGGGGCTGCTTCCGCACCAGCCGAGCATTGCCATTCTAAAGAATGCACGCTTTCTCAAGATTTTGGATGGCGATGCTGCTGGCTCGTTGCGTTCCTGCAAGTTCTGCGGTGCGCTCCCCTTTCCCCCCTCATTTTACTGTGGTAAGAAGCAGTGGTGCCACCAACGCCAGCCTCTTGGTTTCATTTCTCTTTTTTGAAGAGAATGTTCCTCGTTTTGTTTAGCGTGAAAGACATGGAGTGCTATTGCCCAAAGCGAAAGAAAGCTTTTTCCCACGTGTGAAACGGGGTCATTCCACTATCGTGCCGTCCCACCTAGAGGTCATACTGCGGAAAAGCTCTGTGCGGAGCTCAGATCGCAGTTCCGCAATAAAATCCCAAGCAGGGACGGCCTTGTGCGGAGCAGCCGAATAAAAGAGGCCGTCGCGCTCTGCAAACAGGAATAACCCCGGATTGATACTGCAAGGGACTTTGGCTTAATGGAGCTTTACCTGGATGCACCTGTGGAGAAAGACCCTGGCCGGGTCAGGTGTGAGCACTGCTTCCAGCTGCTGCGCACGGGCAGCCGCCACTGCTGCTGCGGGGCCCACAGGGACCGTGCGGGGCGGCCGGAGGCCGTGTGGGCGTCCGAGGCTGGGGGCGCCCGTGGACACCCCCCGCCTCGGCCTTCCTCCCCCTAGGGCGCAGGGTCGACTCCGATATGTCGAAGATGCAGGAGGAGTTCGACAGTGTGAACCGCACGAGCTCTGCGGTGCTGGCTGCCCTGAAAGACAAGGGTGAGTCGAGGCAGCCGGCGTTCAGCTGCTGAAGGAGGGGGGCAGAGGGGCGCGCGGGGTGGGCTGGGGCTTTTGCTGTGTGCCGGGGAGGGACGGGGAGCCTCGGGAGACAGCGCCACGGCCCACGTCGAGCGGGGGTGACACAGCCCTGTGTTTCCGTGCTCCACTGGAAGAACGATTCCCAGCGACGACCACGTCGTCGTCACAACGCCCGTGAGAACCTGGGAGGCGAAATCGATCGAGCGCGGGGCTTTGGGAAGGAAACCCACCAAGTGGCCGGCATTGAAACCGTCGCCCTCCGAAGGCGCAGCAGCCCGTGAACTGGCCGCACGTTGCCCTGAACCCCAAAATCAAAGGAGTCACAGAAACAGGCACCGGAAGCCGTGCTCAGATCAGGGAGTGAGGGGCAAGAGGCGGGGAAATCCGGGGGGGGGGGAAGCTGGAAAGGGCAGAGCAATGAGCTGCAACCAGGTGCCTTGTTTTCATCCCCAAGGTGTGGGGTGGCCTCGTCTGCAGAGGGAAGCCACTCCCCAGCCCCCTGGCCTCACCGGGGATAGGTTAGGGGGCGGCCGTTCGCGCTGCGGGTGGGGTGGGTGCAGAGAGAACGCTCTGCGAACCCCTCATCCCCCCGCCCTTGCCTGCAGAGGAGAAGGACCTGCAGACCCTGGTGAACATAGACAAGATGGTGAAGAACCTGACCAAGGTGGTGGACGCAGGTGGGCAGCACGAGAGGGCACCGCACCGGGGGCCTGGCCTGCGTGGGAGCCGTGGGTCTGCGGGGGCCAAGCATGCGGGGAGGGGGCCTCATGAGGAGGCCTGCTGGGCCAGGCCCGGCGGTCTGTCCGCCCCACATTTTCGCGTTTGGCTGGCTAGGCTGCTGCCAGCGTGGTGGGGGGGGGGGGCAGCCCTGGTGGAGCGCTGCCATCTCCTCCACGAAACCGTCTCCCCTGCTCCAGTCAAGGCGGAGTTCCAGGACCAAATCGCCAAGCTCCGGATCAGCGTCCGGACCCTGAACTGCAGACTGGAGGACGTGAAGCGCAACCGGACAGGTCAGGAGCGTGGCTGGCGGGGGCTGGCGAGGCGCAGGGGGGGCTTCTGGGCGGGGGGGGCACGAGCGCTGGCCTCGCCCGCCTGCCCCCCCGCGATGCGCCCTCCCAGCTGCGGGTGGCCATGGGGCGCGTGTTGGGAAATGGGCGCCAGGCAGCAGAGTCCAAGCGGCGCCAGTGGGCTGAACGCCTTTTGCGAAATGGGGGGCCCAGGCGCACCCGGCGTAGCTCGCCGTTTCTTTTTATTCCTGTCCCGTCCGGAAGAAGCTTCTCCTTTCCCCCATTTTCTGGGTACTGGGGGGTCCACGGCCTTTCCGTCCGCCTGCTTGGTGCAATTCCTGCCTCACCCCGTTACAAACATTACATGCGCATTATAAGCAGCCCAGTGTCTATTCGGGGCGTGCGAGTTAATATCCGTCACCCGATTACCCCTGCGTGCTGCAAACTACAGGTTCACTAGTTCACCCCCTCCCACCTCGCCTTGCCCCACGGCCCCCGTCTCATAAAACGACTGGGAGGATGAGGTCGGGAGCACCCCCCCCCCCTCCAGTTCTCCTTTCTCCCCCCTCGTCCCTTCAGATAGTAACTCCATCGCTTGACTCGGAGCTCCTTTGCTTCTGCCTGTTTCGAGTGTTACTTTTTCTTTCCAAGTTCAGCTGCCCCTCCTGTGTGAATACGGGAACCAAAACTTATTCTTACTTTACCTCAGTTTCCTTCTTTCACTGACGGGGTTAACAATTCGGCGTTGCTTTGCCCACGTGCGGTTGGGGCAGCTTGGCTCGGGCAGAGGAGGGGGCTGCCCCCCAGCGTGGGGGCTGCCCCTCTTCTGTCTAAACGTTCATGGATGGCACCCAAAAGAAACATGTGCAAGTTTTTCATTTCCACGTTTGTTGCATATTCGTGTGTGTTTCCAAGAGGGCGGGAACGGGCGTCTTGGGGGGTGGGAATCAGGCGTGCTGGGGCATCCATCTCGTGGGTGGCCAGCGCCGGATCCATGCGCGGCTCGCCTCGTCCTTGCTCCCAGTCCCAGGCGTGTGGGAGCGTTCCGAGTGGCGCTGGGGACACCGGCCACGCGGACCCCCCGGGGCCTGGCCTGGAGCCGCTGCTCCGAGTTGGGGGGCCGTGGCTGGGGCCGCTGTCCGTTGCATGAGCCCCCCTCCGTGCAGGACGCAGCCGACGGGGCAGGCCTTCCTTGGGCCCAGGGAGCTCCCCGTGGCGGCGGGTGCGCCCAGCTTCCCGACTGGGCACCTGCCAGATGCGTTGGCCTGGACCCCCGTCTTGGCCAGCTGCTGGGAATGATGGGGCTTGCAGTCCAGCACAGCCGGAAACCAGCTTGGGGAACCGAGCAGGGGCATTCACGCAGCGGGTTCGGCAGTCGGCCCTCAGGGATTATGATGCCGGTCAGGTGGGAAGATGGCTGTGCGGAAGGAAGAGAGGGAGGGCCGGGTGCATGGCCCTCTAGCCAAGGATGTCTGCCGGAATGGAAGGGCCCAGGGGAAACCCAGCCAGCCCCCTCCAGATCCGGAGACCTGCTGCAGCAGCCCCCCCGCGTGCCCCCCAGCATCGGGCGCTGTCCCAGCCTGCCCGCCATGGCATCCTGTCTCCTCCCCACTGCCCCCCGTGCCCCCAGGTGGCCAGGAGGACTGCTGCCCGAAGGGCTGGCGCTCGTTCGGCCGGAGCTGCTACTGGGTGTCCTCGGTGGAGAAGACCTGGGAGGAGGCCAGGCTGGACTGCGAGGACAAGGATTCCCACCTGGTGGTCATCGCCGGCTACCAGGAGAAGGTGTGTGGCCCGGGCCCTCGGCCAGCCGCCGCTTGCCAGGTTCCCACGGGGCGGGGGGCCGAGGGAGGAAGGCCACCGGGGAGGGCAGGAAGGCTCGAGGCCTTGCCCCCACCTCACCCCACCCCACCTGCCCCAGCCCAGGGGTGCAGCTGGGTCATTTTCAGGGCTCCGACCCGTTTCTCAGGGCCCTGGGTCCCCACAGGTGCCACTCCAGGGGGAGGGGGCCCTCTCCTCCCAGCGTCCTGCAGAGCCCATTGGCCAAATCGGGGCGTTTGCGATGAGCCATCAGCTGCTGGCTGCGCCTCCGCGACGGCCGGGGCTCCTCCACCACTCGGGCGCAAAGCACGGAGCCCCTGCGCCCCTTCAGCCCCTCGCCGGTCACGCCGCTGCACCCACTGCCTGATCGGTCAGTCGGAAGCGCCCGCCGCCCGCCCGCCCCGCATTCGGAGCCCCCGGACATCACGGTGGGCGGGAGGCAGCCCCAGGGCCGCCCGCTGGCCCTGGGGGGCCGTGGGGCCGGTCTTGGCCACCCCTGAGCTCTGCGTGTCCTCTCCTGCCGCAGCAATTCGTCACCCAGCTCTCCAAGCCCCGGAACACGTGGCTGGGCCTGAACTACGAGACCGACCAGTGGAAGTGGCTCGACGGGAGCACGTACACCGTCCGCAGGATGTGAGTGTCCCCGGCCCCTGCCCCGGACCCCCCCGCCCCCCAGGCCACGCCAGCCCCACAGCCGGCACTGGCTGTGGCCCCCAGGGAGCAGCACGGGGGGCTGCTGGGCTCTGGGAGGGCTGCCCATCGGCCCCCGGCCTCCACAGCCCGACGGCCCCACGGGCACACGGCGGCTGCGAGGGCCACCCGGGGGGCGGCTCCGTGGTGCAGGGGGCTTGGCGTGAGCCGCCTGCCGCTCTCCCCGCAGAGACTGGAGGCCCGGCGAGCCCAACCTCTTCTCGCACCGCAACTTCCGGGAGCTGGCGCACTGCGCCTACATGTACCGTGACGGCCTGTGGAGCGACGAGCACTGCAAGCAGCAGCTGGCCTGGATGTGCGAGACCGAGCTCAAGGGCTGAGCCGCGGCCGCGGGGGGCTGCGCACGCCACGCCGGCCAGCCGGACACTCCCTGCGCGGGCAAATAAACGGGATGCCTGCGGCTGCGTCGGCCTGGTCATTCTTGCGCGGGGCAGCTCGGCATCCCCTGCGGCGGCCTGGGAGGGGGCCGGGCGCCCGCACAGCCACGGAACTGGTCCCAGCGGGCCGAGGCCGCGTGGCGCAGCGCCTGATCGGCCTGCCGCGGGCCCGGCCTCTCCCGGGAGAGGGCCGGGACCCTCCGGAGCCGGAAGCTGCCTCGCCGCAGCGGGCTGGGCTGGGGCCGGGGGCCTCGCCCTGCAGCGCCTCGACTCCCAAGCGTGGCGGGGTGACATGGGCCACGGGTCCGGCCCCGGCAAGGCCGAGGCCTTTGGGAGGCCCCCTCTGCCCCACAGGTTGTCGGAACATACACAGTGCCCCGGCCGGGTCCGGGGCGCTCCCAGCGCCGTGCAGTGATTCCGTCTCTTGCGCCTTCCCTGCGTTGAGGAGAAGGCGGGCGAAGCAGCTGGAGACGTGAGCGGGTTGGGCAGGGCCGGGCCGGGCCGGGCGGGCCGGGTGGGCCACCACGCCAAGATGCAAAATCCCACGAAGGGCGAACGGCGACGGCACGACGAAAGCCGCACGGGAAGCCCCCTCAGAGAATTACAGGGCGGCTGAAGTGGGGGAAAGGGGAATGAAAGGCGCAACGGCTGAGCGCGTGCCAGGAGCAGCCCTGCTCAGAAAGACGCGGCGTGGCCTCCGCCAGGGCGGCTCTCGCCTCAGGACCTCGTCAGGGCTCCCCGGGAGACCCTTTCCTGGGCTTCGGGAAGGCTGGTGGCGGGAGATTTAGGGCGGACAGAAGGAAGAGCTTCTGCCCGCAGCACACGGTGGGTAGCTCACTTTTAGGAACTGCTGCACCACTTTCTCCCCCCCCCGGGTGTCACATCTTTGAGATTTTAAAGGGGGCTTTTAAAGGACAGGCAGGGACATCCTTCAATGATTATATGTAAGCCCCTTTGGAGCCCTGGAGACTGGAGGGCGGAGTTTTGAAAATGCCACCCGTCACTGACTCAGGGCTCCAAGAAGTGCCCCAACCGGAGGGGTGGAAATAAAGAAAACACCGGGCATTTTAAAACGGTGTTTTATTTCTGCCTGACCGCTCGCCCTGACCCACGGGGCCTCCCAAGGGGTGCGATGGCGCCCCTACGCTCTGCGGTGCCCCCTCGGTGGGTGCTGCCGTCCCGGGATGTCCAAGCGCATTGCTGGAGGGGCCCCGGTCAGGAAGGCGGGTGGGGCAGGACTCCTGGGTCCCCGCGGACCCCATGCTCCTCCGCGGTGGGACGGGTCCCCGCATCTTCCGCCAGGCCCCCCCTGCCCAGGCACGGCTCATTCCCCCGAGGACAGGCACAGCATGGCCGCCTGCTCGAAGCGGAAGACGTGCCAGCCCTCCGCGGCCGTCAGGTCCGTGGCCCCCTTGCCCAGGTAGAAGTCGATGGCCGGGCGGTTCCAGTCGAGCACGGCCAGCCGCATCTGCGTGCAGCCCCTGTCCAGGCCAATCTGGAAGGCAACCGAGAGCGGGGTGAGCCCGGAGGGGCAGCGTGGGGGGCTGGTGGGCGGCCGAGCTCTGTGGAGGGGCCCCTGCTTCGTGGCGGGAGGCCTCCAGCTCGGTCCCAGCAGCCCCTCCAGGCAGGGCTTGAAAAATCCCCACAGGAAACCCCAGAGACCACTGCGGGGGCTGAGCATGGGGAGGTTCCAGCGTTCCTGTAGGGCTGAGGGCTGCCGGTTCTCCAGGAGGAAAGGGGATCGCCCCGTGCCCCACACTTGGCTGCTGAGAACATCTGACAGCTGCGCCTCGAAAGGGATCCCGGAAATGGCCCAAAAGAAGCCGCCCGGAGGAGTGGAGGCCCGAGGGGACAAAGGAGGAGGAAGCAGTCACCCTCGTGCCTCCCTCCCGCTCCATCGGGCTAGAGCCCAGCCGGGTCACCCCTGGCGCTGCGGGCGGGAAGACTGAGGCAGGAGGCAGCGAGGGGGGCTCCGAGTCCGGACGGCTCTGCACGCCCCCCCGGACCAGCGGCGGGACGCCTGCGCGCCCCACTTGCCGGGGAACGTGGGCGGGAAGGTGCTCCTGCCCTGCGTGGGGGCAGCTGATTGACCATGGTGGGAGCCGCTTTGCGAGAGGCACCGCGGATGGGGGGGGGCGGGGGGCGCCCTTCACCCCTTTGCCCTGCTGCGTCCATTATGAACTTCAGGTAAGTTCAGAGCATGTGTAACCCTTGGCTGGATTTCTGCCGCACATGAGTCGCGCAGCTGCCTTTGAAAATGGTCCGGAGAGTTTCGCTGGACAAGGTGGGCCGCTCCGGGTCGAGGGGCCGGCCAACGTGCTCGGGCACCTGCGCTGGCCGCTGGCCCGAGTCTGGCCTGCTTCAGTGAGCCGATGCGAATGTTCAAAGCCGAAGAGGCCCGGGCCAGGCCACCCAAAGGACCCTCTGCCCCAGCCACACCTGCCCCAACCCTCCAGCCCCCTGCAGGGGGTTTTCCTGGGAGCCTTTGCCACAGGGAGGGCGACAGGGGCGACCCAGAGGGGGGCTTTCCTCCCATGGCAGCCCACATGGTGGGTTGCCCCCGCAGGGGCGCAGCCGGGCACCAGCCGTGCTCTCTCCGAAGGCAGGTGAAAGCCGCATCAAAGAAACATAGAAACAGAGCGAGTCAGAAGGGGTCTCCCGGGCCATCTAGTCTGACCTCCGGCTCCAGCTGGCTCCGCTCACGACATGCCCACCATGTGGACATCCAGCCTATCCTTGAACACCTTCACCGAGAAGGCCTCCCAGGCTGTTCCTATTTAAACGTGGCTTTACATTTTGGCGTTTGCTTCTGCCTGGGTGTTATTTTCAAATATTATTCTGCAGTTTTGAATTTTTACATTTTTGTTCTACCTCATCCCCTTAGATGTTGTGATTTTAATCATCAGGCTAATGGGTAGCACAGAAATCTAATAAATACGTTTCTACTGGCTGAGGCAGGCTTTGGTCTGATGGCTTTTCTGGCATTCTTATGCCTGGGGATGAGCCAGGATTCCCGGGTTTTTCAGGAAAAGGGGAAATGCAGGTATTATTGCAGCAGAAAGCCTTCCCTGGTTCCCGGAAGGAAAATGCTGTGCCTGAGGAGCACCGTCATCAAGTTAATTTGTAAAGCCGGCCACTGCCCCAGGGCCCCAGGCCAAGCCCCGCAGCCCCTGGGGAAAGCAGCCACTAGGCGGGTGAGGATGCAGGGGAGACGGGTTACCTTGGCAATGGCGCTCATCAGCTTCTTCCCGATCCCCTTCCCTAAAACGGAGGGAAAGGCGAGAGATTGAGAGAGGAGGAGAGCGCGAAATGACGTCAAGGGGCTGGAAGGGCACCCGGGACCCCCACATTTCCCGTCCAGCCGCAGCCCATGCTTCCAAAAGAGAACCAATGAGCCATTTTGTCTTCAAGGGTGTGGAACAGTTAGTTGGGGATGATGGAAATTGCAGTCCCAACACATCTGAACAGCATCAGGCTGGGGGACCCTGGCTTGCGTACAAGCGCACAGAGGTGTAATCGCTCTTTGATCTGCGCATCTGAACGTGTTCCCCCTTCCCCTCCCCTCCCCCTCAAATGAGATACCCCGAAATTCAGGCATCACGTAAAGGTCCTCCACGTAGATGTTTCTGCCTTTCCAAGTGCTGTACGTGAAAAAATAGAGGCCGTAGCCCACGAGCGTGTGACCTGCGGAAGAAAGGAAAGCGGGCTCAGTCCGCCGGGCAGCCCGTGTCGCCGCCCCAGGGCCCGGGGGCCGGAGGTCTGCCTGCGCGGCGTCAGAGGGCCCTCAAGCCCCTTGAAAGGAAGTGAGTTTGCGGCTGGTTGGGAGGAACACGAGGACGCCAGGGCAGCCCGCTGGGTCGGACCCTGGCCCGGCCCGGCCAGCATTTGGTATGCGCGGTGGCCAGCCGCCCGCCCGCAGGGTCCCTCGCACGGGGGGGGGGGGTGCGAGGCCTCCGCCGGCCCGAGCTGCATGCAGGCCAGGGAGGGAGCCCACCTGAGCGGGGCTGGCAGCCACAGAGAGCCCCCTGCCCCTGCATCTGTCCAATCCCCCCTTAAGGCCACCGAGACTGGCAGCCACCCCCACCGCCCAGGGCAGCCATTCCCACAGTGAAAAGGCACGTCCTTTCCCCTGACCCAAACCCCCACCCATCCGCTTCATGCGGGGATTCTGGGTTGGAGTGTTCTGGGAGAGGGAGCAAATGGCCTCCTGCTCCGCTGCCTCCACTCCACTCCACACCGCCGTTCTCCTGCCTCCTCTTCCTCGCCTCCTTTCTCAGCCGCCCAGACCCAGTTGCCTCTGCCCCCGGATCATTTCCGTTGCCCTTCCCCGTGGAAGCCGGGGCAGGATCCGAAACCAGCACTCCTGCAGCCAGGCCCAGCTTCTACCTCCCTTTCTAACGATGCCCGACATGAAAATTTGCCCTCTCCACAGTAGCTGTGCGCTGGGTCAACATTCCCATCGATCTGCCTGCCGCTACCCAACTTCCCTTTCTTGGCCGGTCACCGCCAGGCCAGACCCCCACCAGCGCCGACGTGGAGTCGGGATCTTTGGTCCCAGAGGGGCTGCTGCCTGCGGAAAAGGCCTGGTGCTTGGCTCCCCAGACCAAAAGACACGGGCTGGTTGCATACGCCGATGTGCGGATGCTCTGACACGCGTGTTTGTGCGTGCATGTGTGCATGCGTGTATGTGGGTCTTTAACAGCCCCGCCTCCTAAGAACAGCCCCATTTGTCAAAAAGCATTTCGGAAAAGCCCCAGGCAAGCTGCAAGGGGGCAGAGCCGGAGGGGAAGCGCGCGAGAGCCAAAGGCCTGCTCATCCAGGGCGTCCGGCGCCACAGAGCTCTGCAGGGCCCCCGGATCCTTCTTTTAACAGGCCCCCCAGGCAGCAGGGTGGGGGGCACGGGGCTGGCCAGAGACTCAGGGCTCTAGCCACGCCTGCCTTTTCCCGGTGTGGTTCCCTTCACCGTTGCTTGCTCTGCAGGCACCCGGCCGGGAGGCGCCCATCCCTGCAGCTCAGAGAGATCCTTTGGGAATTGCTCCTAATCCAATGGGATTCTTTGGCCCCCTCTCAGAGGCTTCACCCACGGTGAGCCTGGCCCCACACGCAGCCCCAGCGATCGCTCTGGGGCCGACATCACGTCCGCAGAGCCGGGCATGGCCCTCCGGGGAGGCCGCACGGTCGCGGCGCCCGGCCGGGCTCTGCAGCTCTTCTGCAGAAGGAAGGAGGCTCTCGGGCGGGTGGTGCTGGCCCTCCCCCAAAGGGCAAACAGATGAGGCCCCCACCCCAGCTGAGGAAGGGCTGCTTCTTCCTCTCCTGGCAGATGTGAGAGCCAGCGTGGCGTCGTGGTGAAGAGCACGGGACTGGGACTTAGACAATCTGGGTTCAAGTCCCCGCTCAGCCATGGAGCCAGCTGGGTGACTTTGGGCCAGTCACAGACTCTCAGTCCAACCTACCTCACAGGGTTGTTGTTGAGATAAGATGGAGGAGGAGAATGATGTAAGCTGCCTTGAGCCCTTGGTAGGAAAAAGGCAGGATATAAACCGAAAAATAAATAAATAAATAAATAAATGGGAGGGGCAACATGTTCTGGTTGCCGGAGTGGACGGGGCTCACGCTCAGCCGGGAAACCCACGGGGTGACTCTGAGCCAGTCACTGACTCTCGGCCTCGCCTACTCCGCAGGGTGGTTGTGAGGATAAAATGGACTGGGGAAGGCGAAGCCACACTGGGCTTCTTGCACGGGGGAGAAAGGCGGGATAGAAATGCGGCAACGAACACACAATCAACGCGTGTCGCTCACTTACCAGCTTTGCTGCGGCACTCGGGGGGGACCTCGGCCACCACGCACTTATAAAAGGGATCCTGGCTGAAGCCATCTTCACGAAGCCCTTGCACGGTAAGGGGGAAAGCGGAGCGCGGGATTAGGGGCGCGAGGAGGGGAGGAGGAGGGGAGGGGCTGCAAGGGGACCGGCTGCGCCGCGATTTCCGGAAGGGAACGTCCCTCTAAGAACAATCCTCCTGCTGGAAATCCAGCATCCCTCCCCCACTCCCCTGGTGGCACTGCAAGCGCAGTGCTTACTTCCGAGGAGCCCAAGTGCAGGCACACACCCTGACCCAGGCCCTGGGGCCGGGCCTCCTTTCCCCAGCCCTTCCCCTCTTGACCTGGCCAGCGACCCCTTCTGGAAGGCGACAGGGGGAAAGGTACCACGGCGGCACCTCGGCTATTCCCATCATACGCCCACCTAAGCAGGCCCAAAGCAAGCTTTGCAGGTGCACCTTTCCAGGCAGGAAACCAGGCTGGGCCACGCTGGGAGGGAGGGGCAGGCCAGGAGTGGCGCCCCTTCGCTCCCCCGGTCCCCCTGCGGGCTCTCGGTGCAGAGATTCCTCCCAGCACTCCCCCAGTGTGGCCGAGCGGCGCAAGGGCACCCCTGGGGGCTGAGCTGGGAGTCCCGCAGGACCCACCTGGGGGCTGAGCTGGGAGTTCTGCACTGAGCAGGGGGCAGGTCCCGATGGCCCCCTGGCCCCTTCCCACTCTACTGCTCTGGGACGCTTCCCCAAGCAACTCCAACCAGGACTGGAGACTCACCTTGCTCACTGATTTTTACCTGGTCGGACAGGTTCTCAAACTCCGCCAGTTCCTGAGGAGAGGAAAAAATGCTGTCAGGTGTGAAGGCACCGAATCGCCAGGGCCGCCGAATCCCTCCCTCAGGACCCCACCTCTTCACCCACCTGGCCCCAAAGGCTACAGAGGGATTCCTCGCCACCCTACCCCAAAACATGCTTTAGAAAAGCCCCTCCTGGGCGGGAGATGGTCCCCGAAGCCTCTCAGCCCTCTTATGCAGCCATTGGGGGGGGGGGGACACATCCATCTGGGGGGGGTTAAAAAAACATAAAGAGCAAAGATGACTCTCGGGGACGGACGGAAGGAACGGACTTCTCCGCACGTGGGTTGGACTTCCAGATTGTTCCCTGGGACTGCAGACTCTGCCTGATCCATTGATTGGGGGGCACTGGGAGGTCCCCCCCACACACTTTCCAGGATTCCCATCACACTGAGCGAGGGGAGACCAGCCTGGCAGCTGCTCGGAGTGTGTTTTGCCCTTCGCTGCCAGAAGGAACTCTGCAGCTAAGGACGGGCCCTCTGTTTTGCCACGTTTCGTCTGCCTCCCGTTCCATTTTCCTTTTGTGCCCCCGATCTTTAAGCTTGCGAACCAACGGCGGGGGATTGTCCCTCTATTAATCTCTGAAATACTGGGCCAAAAATGCTGCTTCATAAGCACAACGTGAGCTGCTTTGAGGCCCAGCCTCTGGGAATACGTGGGATATAAATACACCTAATAAATAAGAGGAACAGTAAGTTTGCAGAGCTGCTGCCACCGGTTGTAGAGGGCTCTTAAAGGAGGGGGTGGTAGCGGTGGCGGAGGGGGTCCCTCGGGGGGGCAGGGGGTCCCCGCTTTACTTGCCGGAAGCTCCCAGATTCAAACCTGGTCTCTCCAGGCAGGGCGAGGAGAAACACCCCCTAAAATCCTGCCGCCAATTAACGTGGAGAAGGCTCAGCCAGGTGGCTGGGGGGGTGGGGGGGGGCTGACTCGATCGATTCTAAAGCTGCTTCCAGTCTTCCTCTCTGTTGGACCACGATTCCCATCACGCCCGAGAGGGGACCGGGCTGTGGAAGAGCGGTGCAAGCGATGCAGCGAAAAGAGCAGCCGGGCGACCCCAGAATTACTGGGGAAAAGCTGTTCCCCCTCCTTCCATCTGCAGACAGCAGAGCAGCAGCTGGGGGGGGGGGTGTTTTTTAAGCCACCGGAGCCCAGCCGCTCCCAAGGTAAGAGGCAGGAGTTGCATTTTATGCCAAGGCACAGAAACAAGGGGAAAGCCTGGGAGAGGCAGGCGGAGGCGATCACACCGTCTCCCCACGGACTGTGCTGGTGCTGACGCTAATTGTGCGGAGAAAAATCCTTGACCTGCTTAAGCACCAAACAAACAGAGCCAACCGTGCTCAGAAATTCCGGTCCAGGAATTCCGGTCCTTTGGAGCCGGCCCGTCCCTCGCGCCGCAGGAGGGCTACCTGCTCCGCTCGCCGGCGGGCCGGCCCGCCCGGCCAGTGGCCAAGACTGCGCAGAGCGGTTCTTCCGAAGGCTCCCTTTTGGGCACCAGATGTTTCTCCTTGCGCATAACACCTAGCCCACCTGGTGCTCTCCAGAAGCCTTGGACTACAACTCCCACCCTACCTGGCCAGCGGGAATGATGGGACATGTGCAGCGTGGCCAGGACAGAGCTGCTAACCTGATTGTCGTATGTGAACAACAGATGGCTGGCGGACAACGGCTTCTAGGTCCCCGAAGGACACAGAGAAGAAGTGGGTGATGCAGTTCTGTTGGCCCATATTTTTTCCATTTAATGCCAGCAGCAATTCTGCCGCCCACAAGAAGGGCCGTGCCAGGCTCCAGACTGGCCTCTGCATCACCAGAAAGCGAGCAGACTTTCAGGTTGTTCAGAACGCTTGGTCAGGGAGGAGGAGGGAACTGTGCCCCCCTCCCTGCTCCCAAGCCTGCGGCGCATCACAGCAGTAGGGGCCTCGGACGGCCGTGGCATCCGGCGGTCCACCGAGCCCAGCATCCGTCATGCGGCGGCTGCCCACGGGAAGCCCACGGCCAACCCCCTGCCCACGTCCCCGAAACTGGTGCCCTCCGGATGCCACGGGTGGGGCGGGCCACTGGGACTCCTCCAGGCGCTGGCCCAGAGCGCTTTTACTGTCCGAATCGGGGCCAACATGCCGGGTCATGGGAGTGAACCCCCCACCGCACGGGAGGCCCTCCCCCCCCGCTTCTCCCACCCTCGGTCTCGTGTGAAGTGCCCCTTGGATGCCCATGCCGTGGGCGCGGGAAAAGGCCTCGGCTGTGCTCACCACATCAGTGTACTTCAGGACGCGCGGTCCCATCTGCCCCGGCCCCCGGGCCTTTTCTCTGGGGAAGCGTCCCCGGCCGCAGGCCCCAATCCTCAGAGCTGCTCCTCTCTGCACCTTTCAGGTGGGGCACCGCGGGGTTCGCGGGACAGGGCGGGGTTCCTCATTATGCCCCACACGCCCCGTTGCCCTGACGTCTCGGTTCCCAGCTCCCCGGCCACGCTGGCTGGGGATGATGGGAGCTGCAGTGCAAGAGGGCGGTTGGCACGCCTGTCTCACGCCACAGGCCTGGCGCACGGAGGGTTGGGAGCCCCGGTGGGCGGCCGAGCCCCCGTCGCGGCGAGGCCGGCCTCGCCAGGAAGAGGGGCCGTCAGTTCCGGGACGCAGCCGCCCGGGGACGCCCCGCGGTGCACGATAGGCGCTGTAGTCGCGCACACCTGCAGGACGCGGGCTGGCAGGCGGCTGCGAGACCGCTCCGGCGGCGGGGGGCGAACTCCCGGGGGTCCCTCGGATCGCGGCCGGGCAGGCTGCCCGGAGGGGGTGCGCCGCGGCGCGTCGCCTACCCGGATCAGGCGCGCGACGTCCGCGCAGTCCTCGGGCCGGCAGGCGCGGATCGAGGCCTCGGCGGCGGCCATGCCCGGGCCGGGGAGGGGCGGAGGGAGGGGAGGGGAGGGTCCGGCCTCGTTCGCCCGGTCGCGGCAGACTCCGTTTCCCAGGATGCCCGAGGGGCGGGGCGCGGGGAGGCACCTGGCAGCCGAGCGGCTCAGCGCGCCGGCGCCGCGTCGCCTCCGGACCCCCCGGCCCCCGGGGAGCGCCGCTCGCTTCGGCGGCGGACGGGCTGCTCCTCCCGGCGGGACGCCGCGAACCCGGGGCAGCGCGGCCCGTCGGTGCGGGCGCCGTGCGCCTCGGAAGCGGCTCCCACGCCCCCGCGAGATGAGCCCGCGGGGGGCGCCCGGGGGACAGCCGGGCTCGGCGGAGGCGCGTGTGCGGCGCCCGGGGCCGTGTCCCGGCCGGGCGCTGCCAGGGTCCAGCCCGGGGGCGGCGGGGGACGCCCAGGCCCAAGGCCCCCCGCAGGGCCCAGGCCGCGGCCCGGGGCCCCAGGGTGCGCTTCCGGGCAAGCCAGCCCAGGGCCGCGGAGCGGAGGGGCTGCAGCCCGCAAGCCGGGGCGCCGGGGGGGGCGGAGCAGCAGTGGGGGTCCGGCGGGTCCAGGAGCCGGGCTGCGGCTGCGCGGGAGGAAGCCCCCGGTGCGGAGGCGCCAGGACTGCGGGGCTGGACCCGGGTCGGGCCAGGCGCTGCGCGGAGCGGGCCGTGCGGACCGGCCCTCGGGGGTCTTCGGGCGGGACGCCCGGCCATCCCTCGGGACGCGGCGCGAATGGTGCACCCGCACGGCCTGGCGGAGGGGGCGGGAAGGGGGCAGCCCGGGCGGGCATCCCCTGCGAAGGCGGCTCCGCTCGGGGCTCGCTCGCCCCGGTTCGAGCGTTGGCTCAGCTCGCTTAAGGCAGCGGACGTGTGTTTGCTGGCCACGTGTGAATTCCCCAAAACGCCTCGGCGGGGAGTGGAGGGGGTGAGCGCGGGGGGGGGGTGGCTCCCTGCCACGGAAAGCCCTCCCCGGGGAGAGGAGACACGGGGGCTCGGGGGCTGCTTCCCTGTCCAGCCTGGGCCACCAAAGGCCTCTTCATGCCCCCCGGCGGCTAAAATAGCCTTCAGTTCCCGGCCGGTGTCGTTTTTCCTCCGCTGCGGCTCTGGTCACACTTGATGCCCAGCTGGCTGCACTGGTCCCGTTGGTGGCGCATCTCCACCCTGCCTGTCCTGCCATCCACGTGGGCGCTGCCCGGAGCGCCTGGTCTTGGGGGGCCCGTCCGGGGGGCCTGCTGCGCCCATGCAAAGCAGGGTGCAGCTCATCGGCCGCTGCCCTGGGCCTCCGCGTCCCTCACCCCACTGGCGCCTCCGCTGTGCCCAGAGTCCCTCGAGCTCAGTGTCTGTGCAGGGCTTCCCCAAGCCCCGGGCAGGAAGCGGCCCTTCTCCTCGTGTGCAGGGGGCCGCCAGGGCTTGAATTGGCACCCTCTGTGCCCGCGGCCCCTGTGCCCCTGCGGAGAAGGACGGGGGGTTCCCAGCAGGTCCCTCAGCTCTCGGTGGAGAGAGGCACTCCTTCACCCGCGTCGCCTGGGGAGGCGCCGGGGAAGGAGGCCGTGAGCCAGTTGGCAGGTGCCGGGGCCCCTCCTCCCACGGAGAACTTCCCCGGGGGCGGGGGGACACGATCCCCTCCCACAGCCTCATGCAGTCAGGCGGCACGCGGGTGAAGGGGCAGACGCGGAGAGGAGCCGAAGGAGGCGGCCGGCCATGAACGTCATCGTGCGCCCCTGCTTCCCCAGGGACCTGCCCGAAATCATGCGGCTGATCAAGGTGAGCCCCGAGGAGCCCCTCTGGTGGCCGGGACGCCAGCGGCCTGCCCCCCTCCCTGGGCTGGGCCGCTCCACGTGGCTCCCGGCCTGGAGGCACCGTCGCCTTTGGCAGCAGGAGCTCTGACCGGTTGCAGCGCCGCCAGCCAGGCCATGGGGCTCCTGCCAGGGCCCTTCCCGGTGGGTCGGGGCCTGAGGAAGGCAGTGGGCCCCTTGGATGTCCCGTCTCCGGATGATAAATATTATGGGGCGGCCTGACTCCCAGGCCTTGAGAGGCTTGGCCTCCGGGCACCCCCCCTCAGCACCGTGCTATTGGGGTCCCACTGCCCCCCTCGGACCTGCAACCCTCTCCGGCAAGCTCCACCTCTCTCTCCGCAGGACATCTCCATCATTTACAGCGTGCCCCTGGAAAAGCTCAGAACCAACGTGGAAGGTGAGGACGTGGCCGGTGGGTGCGCGTGGGAGGCGGCACGGGGGCAGAGGACATGCCGCCCTCGTGGGGAACCCGGTCCCTCCCACAGGCGCCCGGCTCGGCCACGTCCCCAGCAGGGGCTCCGATCTGCACAGACGGCGGATCGCCCTTCGGCGGCCCGCCGTGGCCGGCACTCGTAGCGCGGGCTGGTGCCACGAAAGGGTGGGGCACCGGGAGCAGGCACGCGTCCTCCGGCGGCCTTGCCCTCTCCCCCATCTGCTGAGCAGGGGCAGCCGCACCTGTGGCGCAGGGCTCACCTGTCCCCGCCCCGCCCCTCCCCTCCGTCCCCAGAGCTGAAGGATGCCGGGTTCGGGACTCGTCCCCAGTACGAGTGCTTCGTGGCCGAAGTCCCTCCTGAGCAACGAAGCAAGGAAGGTAATTGGAGGAGGGGGTTTGGTGGGGGGCACGGGAGGGATGTGGCGTCGGGGGCAGAGCCCCCAGGGCCACTGGTGCCCCGGGTGCAGCTGCTTTGCCGACCCACCAAGACCGAGAACAGCCCCCCCTTGGACGCCCTGGGAGCTGCAGCGAGGGGTCCTCTGTCCACGCTGCCCCCCCCCCGGCCACGGGGCCCTGCGGGTCTTCCGCGTGGTGGGGGGCTGTGCCACATTTTGGGAGCAGAGGGGCGGATTTCCCTGCAGACTCGCTGGGCGGGCGGCCCGAGCCAGCCGCCCTGCTGCCCCTGTGGCCACGGTGGAGCCTCTCGTCCTGGCGGTGGCTTGTGGGATCCACGGCTCAGGGCAGCTTGTGGATCCTGCCGCAAATGAAGGACGGCAGCGTGGGCAGCCTGGGTGTCCATGGCGCACCGCTTTTGACGTCCGTGCAAAGCGGAGCCCTGGTGAGGGACCGGTGCCGCTCACGGCCCAGGGGCCACCTTGGCACACCTGCCGCGGCTGCCGGGATGTGCCGAGGGCCACGCGGGGAGGGGGAGGCGAGGACCTCCGGGGTGCCCCCGACCTTTCACGGGGTCTCTTCCCTCTCCGGTGCCTCCCTTGCCGCTTCGCTGCCCCCCCAGGTCACACGCTGATCGGCTACGCGCTCTCCACTTACACCTACAACACCTGGAGGGGAAGGAATCTTTACATGGACAATTTCTATGTCATGCCGGAATTCAGAGGTATGGCCAGCAATGGGCCCCCACTTTGGGTGGGGGGGTGCTGACGAGGCCTCCCCACAGCAGAAGTGGCAGGTCACAGCCGCGGGACCCCCGAGGTGACCCTGCGCTGAGGTGGACCGTGCTGGCCGCCGGGGGCAGGGGGTCAGTTCGCGAAGCGTTTAACTCGAGGTTAACGATCGCAGCCTTTAACCGAGCGAGCTCCGTGTTGGGCTAGTGGAAAGGTGACCGAAACCGCTGGCATGTGCTCAAAACCTCAAAGTTCAATCCAAGCACCTTCTGAGGTGAGGAGGCCCTGCAGCACCCAGCATCCCCAGCCGGCCACGATGGCTCGGGAATGCGGGCAGCGATGGGATGGCCTGTGGGACCCCGCGTGTGTGGCTGCCTCAGCTTGCACAGAATCGGGCCGCTCTGCAGTCGCTCTCTGCTACGGGGACTCAAGGAAGACTTCCGCGGGGAAATCGTGGGCTGGTGGCCTGGCTTGCCCACCTGTCCCCAGGTGGGACGGCTCGATCGCCCCGAGCAGGCCCGGCCGGAAGCACCCTGGGGGTGGGTGGCCATGGGGAGGCTGCTGCAGAGCTGCCCACGGCCAGCGGCGCTCGGCTCAGGGCCCGAGGAGCCCGAGGGCACGCGGAGGGACGGTGTCTCCGATGGATGCCCGGGCACAGGTCCCGGGAGCCCTGCTGGCGCGCCAGATCTGCCCGTCTGCAAGGGGGACGGACAGACGGCCTCCCGGAGGGACCCAGCAGGGATGGCAAACCGCCCCGCTGCCCCCCGCTTGCTCTCCCTGCAGGACGGCGCATCGGACGGCAGCTGCTCAACAGAGTCGCCGAGGTGAGTCCCGCCCCGGCCCGGCTGGCCCTCCTGGCCACGGCCAGTTCTTGCACGCCCCGGAAGCCCCGCGGGGGTCCGCAGCCTGCGGGTGGGCGAGGGCATCCCCGGGACGTCTCCGGCGGGGCAGGTCTGACCGGCGAGGGGGCTGACGTCTGTGCGCGGCTTTGCGCTCCCGCAGGTGGCCTGGGGCCGCGGCTGCACCCAGCTCCGCATGCACGTCTCGTCCCAGAAGCCGGAGAACATCGCCTTCCTTCTCCGGCGCGGGGGAGAAGATCTGACCACCAAGGAGGGCTGGACCCTCTTCCGGTTCCACAGGGACACGCTTTGGAAAATGGCGGCTCAGAGCAAATTCTGAGCGCGAGGCGAGTGTCGCTTGCAGGGCCAGAAGTGCAGGAAGGGGGCTGGGGAAAGGCGGCACAGAACGTGCCGGCCACACCCGGGCTCAGCCCAGTTTATACGTGCTTCATAAAGGAGAGCTGTTTCCTGAGCGTGTGCAGAGTGCGATCCTTTTTGATCCCCGAGTGTCTAGAATGAGGCATTTAAAGTCTTCAGAAAAAACCATTCACGGGCAGCAGGTTTATGTCCTGCTCCCTGTCCTTCTAGGTGAAAAGCTGCCTGGTCATGCCTCGGTTTCTCCTTGGGATTCCCGGGAGACTTTGCCCTCGAGGGGGAAGGCCGTCCCGAGGTGCTTGCAGTGCAGTTTACTGTGTAACTCAGGTGCCGGCTTCCTCGCTAATCTGTAAGCCGATTCGGGGCCCCCGGGGCTCTGGGTCGCGTGGCCGGAGTCCCTGGTCCCCATGGTGCCATTCAGCCTGGTGGAAGCACCGTCCCCCCGACCCAGGAGGCCCGGGTCGTCCCGGCTCCTCATCACGCGTGCGGCTGCCCCAGACCCGCATTTACAGAGGGAGCCCCCCAGATGCCTGGCCTGCAGGCCCCACACCCCCAGGGAACCCCACCCGGCATGGAAGAGGGTCCTGCTCCGTTTCCCGGCAGCCACGCTGGGCCGCCTGCGCCGGGCACCGCTTCGAGCAAGGCCGCCACCGTTGCCCCCGGGACCGGGGCGAGTCGCGCCAGCCAGGAAGCCTGCAGAGGGGGTCCCTCAAACGGGGGCAGCCTCCAGGGCTTCGGCCGGGGGCCCCGTGGGGCCGGGTGCGGACGTTCCGCCACGTGGGAGAGTCGAGCCGTTTCCACGCTGGCGCCCAGCGTGCGGAGGCCCTGCTCTTCTGAATGCAGCCCCCAGCAGGTGGGGCGGAGGGTTTCAATGGGGCCCGCAGGATGGCACCCCCTCTCCTGCCCTGCACCCACGTCGTCTCCCGGGCGCCCCGGCTTCTGCCCCTGCCGGGCAGGGTCTTTTGCCACTAAGTCTTTTCCAGAGCTATTTCACAATGCCAAAAATAAGCAGGAGGTAGAAATTCAAGGAAACACTAATTCAGTTCCCCCCCCCCCCCCGCATAGGAGGGGAAAGCAGCTCCCCAGTGCAGGGGAAATTAAGGGGCAGCTCGTCACTCACCCTCTAGCAATGCACAGAGGAACCAGTAAAATGGACAGAACCAGAAACGGGTCACTTTTATGTTGAGCAGCCCCTGCCCCCCTCCTGCATCGTGCAAGAGCCGTGCTGGGTGCGGACTGGGGGGGCTGCCATGCCCCTGCACGCGGGGCACGGGGTGGGGGCCATTTAAAGGCACAAGTGCATGGAAAAGGTCCGGCGAGGCTCAGACGATGGACGCCCGGTGATGCGACTGCGTTTTATTGCGGGAAAAACAGAGTCGGCACAAATCGAGTGTTGATCCCGCACCTGCGCGCTCACGGGGAGGAGAGCGCCGGAGGAGGGAGGCCCTCGAAGGAAAGGAAAGGGGCTGCCCCATACCTCCAATGTGATCTCTGCAAGGCTTCCCTGGACAGAGCGGGCGAGTTCAGAAAACGGGGGTGGGCAGAGCAGTAAAACAAGCGGCCAAGGCCCCTTCCGTGTGTCCTCCGAGCATATTTGTCCCCAGCGAAATTCCATTCTCAGTCTCACTGGGTGGGATCCAGAGGCGGTCCTGCCAGGCTCAAGTCCAGCAGCAGCAGCAGCCGCGGGATATTCCTTAAGCACGACCAAAACACGCCCCACGGATTGCAGGGGGCCTCCTCGAGGCCCGGATCCAACCCAGCGGCCGCCCTTCCCGCTCCTCACGGCACGGCACCACGCGCACATTGCGCGAAGGAGGACCCCCGGCCCCGCTGGCCTGCCGGGTGCCCCCCTTCTCCACTCGGGCCCCTCCGGATGTGTGGGGCAGCACTCCCAGCCAGCCGGGCCAGTCCAGGTTGGAGGGGATTCGCAGCCCCACACGTCTGGAGCGTCAGGAGCCCCCTTGTTACAGGAGAGTCAAACTGGAAGGGGCCAGAGGGGCCATGCAGGGAGCCCAGCAAAACCACCCTCGGAGGCTGCCATCATGCGCACTCTCGGGGCCCTGCACGTCTCGGGGCCGCGCCGGCCGCGCTCTGCTGGCTGAGTCCCTGCGCACGGGTGCTTCCTTGCAGGCAGCTCCGTTTTGTCCCCTTCGGGGCCAGCCAGGCTCCCACCGGGGCGAATCCTGAATCCTGCCGCAGTTACGCCCCGGGGCAACGCAGGAGAGACTCCACTCAGATGGCGGGGACAGAGCACAGGAGGCGCTCCGATCGGAGGGGTCCCACGGGGACTCCCTTGCGCAGTTAGTAAAGCAGGAGGAACGGAGCACGGCTCTCCGCTGCCGGACCTCGTCCCAGGGGCACACGTGGCCCCGGGCGCAAGCGCATGTGGGAACTCGGCCAAGTCCAAAGGGCAGCGCTCCCGTGCAAGCAGGGGCCCTCGGGTACAGTGCACCCTCCACGCTGCCCCCGCATCTTCCGTATTCGAGTCCGGGGCAAGCCCCCCGTGCGAGGGGGCGGCCACAGCCCCTCGCTTGGAAGCAAGCCCCGTGCGGCTCCCTGGGACGTATGACCACGTCAACATGCAGCTGGCTGGGGGAGAGAGACGCCCCTGGAGGGAGGCGGAGTGGCCGCGGGGAAGTGCTCGGTGTCCGGCCGCTGCAGGAGGGAAATTGCTGGGGGCAGACCTGGGAGGGGAAGGGCCGGCGCGGACCCTCCCTTGCGGAGAAGGGGGCAGCCGGCGGGGAGCTCATGGGAACGGCTGGTTGGGGGGCAGGTTGTACGTGGCGTCCAGGAAGATGCTGAGGGTGCCGAGAGAGGTGAAGATGATAAAAGTCCAGAAGAAGAGGCGGTCCACGACAATGGCCACGTATTCCCAGTCCTCCTTCAGCTGGAAGAGCCACAGACAGAGAAACAGAGTGAGTCAGAAGGGGTCTCCCGAGCCATCTAGTCTGACCTCCAGCACCAGCCGGCTCCGCTCACGACACACCCACCATGTGGACGTCCAGCCTATCCATGAACACCCGCACCGATGGGGCCTCAACAACCTCCCGTGGAAGCCCATTCCACACCCTCGGGGTCCTGACTGTCAGGAAGTGCTTCCTGGCATCCCAACTGAACCCTGGTTCCCTGAGCTTGGCTCCGTGGGAGCGCGCCCTGCCTTCCTCTGCAGGGGAGAACAGGTCTCTACCCATCTCCGTGTGACACCCCCTCATATACCTGTATGTCGCCAACAAATCCCCTCGGAGTCTCCTCTCCTCCAGGCTGAAGAGACCCCGTTCCTTGAGCCTCGCCTCATACTGCATCCCCTGCAAACCAGCCACCAACCTTGTGGCCCTACGCTGCACTGACTCCAACCTGGCTATATTCTTCCTGTAATGAGGGGCCCAGAACTGAGCACAATGCTCCACTTGTGGGGGCACCAGAGTCGCATAGAGCGGCAGTGACACCTCTCTCGATCTGGAAGCCATGCTCCTGGCTATGCTAGAGGGGAGGCGGGGGGGGGAGGCCACATGAGGCGAGCCCCCCGAGGCGCGGGGGCAGGCGGGCGCTGGCCGGAGCGCCTGGGGATGGAGGCCATGGCTCAGCTACCGCGTCCACACGCTGAGCCGCAGCGACCCCATCTTCTAGGCGGTCACCCTGCACAGCCCCCCCACAGACAAGGCCGGTGGCGCTCCCGAACGCCTGCGCGCACACGGGCGTCTTGGCAGGCGCATCCCGGGGCTCACCGCGTCGTAGTCCTCCTGCTCCTGCAGGTGCTCAGCGATGTACGTGATGGCATCGACAGCGGATTTCAGGTTCGGGGGGAGGACAAGGCAGTGGCTCGGGCCGTCGATGAACCTCCTCATGTCCGTGGAGAACATCTCCAGGTGGAACCTGGAAAGGGAGGGATAGCCTGGAATCCACCCATCCGAGGACCGCGAGAGCACGCTTTTGTCCGGATGATCTGCGGCGACTAAAAGGGCACCGACCCCCGATGACCTTGTGCTCCAAAGGTTGCCAAGATGCCTGCCCACGCAGTGCCACGGGTGCCAGAAGCATCAGCATTACTCTGAATTGGCTTTGTTGTGCTCAGAACTGGCTTGGCCACACTCTCGGTGGCTTGTTGCCAAAGCAATTGCCACAGATAAGGGGTTCAAGGCCATGGGATGCCATTTGTATCTGGATCTGCTCAGGGGGCCTTGGGGTCCAGCAAAAGGGAACAAGAACGCAGGTGACATGGGCCGACCACCTGCCCGTCCTGATCGCCGATGCCGCGCGCCGTCTTTCCGCAAGAAAACAGCCCAGGAAAAGGAACAAATAGCACTGAGGCAGCAACAGAGCAAAGTTTGCCAGGGAACCACACAGAAAAAATGATTTTATGTGGGATTTTCCGGAGGACACGCGGGCTTTTCCGAAAGCACTACCACGGCTCCGGAAGACCCAATGCAAATAGTTACCCATTTAGATTTTTATGTGGCCCCATTAACCACGAGGCTATTTGGTCCTGTCAAATATCAAAAACATGTTCTAAGCTATGTCTTCCCCACGTGCAGAGCAAAAAATTGCCCTCTGGATTTTCTGGTTTGGGCACCAACATCTTGAAGCAACTCCTTCTCAGCTCAAGCCATGAGCAGCTGCATCGATCACCTCTTAGCAACTATATATAGTTCCTGCCAGTTTTCCCAATTTCTTTTTGAACAAGAGGGAGGCAAATCCCCCAAATGACCATCTCCAGCATTTCCAGAAATGATCCGTCCGCCTGCCCATCCTCCCGTCTTTCCTTCCACCCACACCTGCTCCCCGAGCCCAAGCATCCCAGACGAGGCCCGGTGCTCACCTGTCGGGATTGGGGAAGTTGTAGGCAGGGGTACGGATGAAATACTGGTCGGCACGGTGGCCCCTCTTCACGGTGATTTCTTGTTTCATGTGTGAGGGGGCGGGTTTGGGGAGGGGTTCTGGCTTTGGGCGCCGCAGACCCAGATACCGAGGGAGCTTGTGGATGAAAATCTGCGGGGAGAAAGAGGCAGGGGAAGGCGCGTTTCCTGGACTTCTGCCTGAGGCCACGGCAGGGAAGAGATTATTAGGAGCAGGGCGGACTGGATGGCGGTCGCGCTGTCTGGCAGAGGAGCTCACGGGAAAGTCCTGGCCACGTTCAGGCGGAAAAGAAGCCCCAGGGCGCTCCAGGGCTCTGGGTGGCCGGCCAGCTCTCCCCAGCCCCTCAGAACGTGGCCCCCGGGGCAGTGTGGGGGCCAAGACCTCCGGGCTCCCAGAGCATCCAGCTGAGCTGCGAGGATACCTCGGCTTGCAGAGGCTTCCCTCAGGGAAACAAGGTCCGGAACATCCAAGTCCGGAAAGAGGCTCACGGGAAGAAATGCGCTCTTTCCAGAAAGGGAGGCGTTTCGCATCGCTCCCTGCCTTGCTCGCTGTCACTCCTGACAAAACCAGAGGCGCAGTGGGGGAGCCGCAGGCTGGGGCCAGGAGACCCGGGTCGAGTCCCCCCGGAGGTCCCCGTGGCGGCTTTGGGCCAGCTGGACGGCGCCCTGGGAAAGGCCTGGGCCCCCGCAGCCCGAGGGGCCCGTGCCGTGCCCTACCTGCCTCACCCAGAAGGGCATTTCGTGGGTGGTGGGCGAGCGGTGGTGCAGGTTGAGGTCCACCACACTGAGGATGACCGCGAAGGTGACGAGGACCATGGTAAACATGAGGTACTTGACGATGATGGGCACGGCCAGGGACGTCTCGGGCACCTTGTCGGCCAGCAGGAGCAGGAAGACGGTGAGGGTGAGCAGCGCGAAGATGGAGAGCGTCATCTTCTCGCCTGGGGACAAGGGGAGCGCGGAGGTCGGCTCACAGAGGCTCTCCCGCCGTGCCCGGGAGATCGGAGCCAAAGGCCGGGGGCTCCTCCTCGAAGAAGCCACGAGGCAGGCAGGGGGCATCAGAAGCCCCCTCGAAGTCAAGGGCGGGATGCCTGGGCTCACAGGGTGCCTCCTTTTCATCCTTTTGGATTCAATCCATATTTTCAGGCGTGATCTCGGTGTCTTATGGCGCTTTGTGGTTTGAAACTTGCCTGCCTCTTTTGGAAGGTGGAGGGGTCGTGCTCACGGAAAAGATCTTCGACGTGGTTTAAATTTAATTAAAAATGCATTAAATTCCTTCCTTTCCGCTACCACCTGTCTCCTCCTCATCTTATCTGCCTGCCGGCACTGGCTGCGTTCAGACATCCCAAACTTCGCAAAAGAATCGATTCTCTGAGCCACGAAGCCCCACGAGGCACCCCGTGCAGGGTCCACCCGCAAAGTGCAAGAGGCTTGAGAGGGGAAGCTATTTTCATCCTGCGCAGCCCCGTTTCCCCAGCGTGACGACGTCCAGTCGAGTTAGCCCACGAGTCCCATCATCCGTCCCATCCCAGCGCCAGATGATGGAAGCTGCGACCAGCCAGGCCAAGGAGGTGCCCGGCTGGGGGACCAGGCTGAGCCCCCCGGTGCCCTGGGGGTGGCTGGCTGGCAGGCAACGGATCAGGGTGCCGGGGGGCGGCGCTGGGGCTCTGGGGAGGCGTTTCGTGTTGAGGAAAGCGGGCCCAGTGGAGGGCCCCCGCTTGACCACAGAGGCCGGCTTCGGCACCCACCAGCGTCCGGGGGCAGGTAGAAGACGAAGATGGCCAGGACGGTGATCAGGACGCAGGGGATGACAACGTTGATGAGGTAGAAGAGCGGCTTGCGGCGGATGATGAGGTAGAAGGTGATGTCCTCGTACAGCGGATCCCCGGGCAGCGTGTTCTTCCGGGACGGCTTGTGCCAGATCTCCCACTGCCCGTTGTCTGCCGGGGGAAGGAGGGGGGGCGGGTCAGGCCCCTCTCGCCAGCTCACCCCCATTTTGCCCTGGACTGGGCCTCAGGCAGAACGGGGAGGGGGGAGCCACCACGCAGGAGTCCCTGCAGGAGCAGGTGGCCCGGAGCGGGGCGCCCGGGCTCGAGGTCTTGGTTGCTGGCCCCGGCTTGAGAAAGAGGTGCTGGGGCCAATCCGTGTGAGCCCACGTCAGCTCTACCAGCCTCCCCCGACCCGGGGCCACCCAGAGGGGCTGGACTGCAATGCCCATTGTTCCCTGCCGGGGAAGGCGGAGCTACACGCAGGCGCGCCCGGCCCGCCCTCACCGATGAACGTGTTCTTGTAGATGACGACCTCCTTGCGCTCCTTCCCGTCCTTGCCGAGCGGGTGCAGCAGCGTCACCTCCGAGGCGTCGTACGTGTACGAGCGAAAGACCATCGTGCAGTTTTGCCAGTCAAACGGGAAGTAGGTCACCTGCACCGCCCGCGCCCACCAACAGACCCACGGAGAAAGCACCCGGGACACGGTCAGGGCCCCCTCGCCATCGCACCCTGCCCACCCCCACCCTCCAGCCCCTGCGGCTTGGGCAGCAGCGCATCCACTCGCGCGGAATGAGGGGGGCACCCGAGGCTCGTGGCCCTCCCGTGTTGTGGGGTCCCCTGCGAGTAACCAGCGGTGGGCCCCCAGTTTGGGAACGGCTGCCCCGAGGCCCACCTGGCGCCAACCCCGCTCGCCTTCCAAGGCCAGGCAAACGGCATCCGATGCCACGGCCAGTCCAGCTGGCCTGCGATTCTTCAGCTGTCCAGATGGCTCTAAATTCTGCTTTCAATTGTGCACGTAAGGAATCGGATGCTGTTCTCCCTGTACCAGGTGTTTTGTGTGAGTCGCTGTGGGCGTTTGGGCGAACGCTGGGGCAGAAATCTTGCCAGCTGAAGAGTGGAGGGGGCTCGGAGCAGTCGGGCCAATGGAGTCCTGTCCCCACTCAGAAGTCGAGGGCGGGGGGCAGCCCTCTTGGCCCGGGGCTGGATTGCCCCCCAAAACACACCACACTCTTCCCCGGCACGGCCGGAGCCGCCTCACCTGCCTGCCGGCGCATGGAGGGGGCGGCCCGCCTGCGGCCCCTCCGTGTCTCCCGCTCTCCACGCGAGGGGTTGGGCAGCTCCCACGGGCTCGGGGTGGGGGAGGCCTGCCTCCCATCCTCCTCTGTCCGGGGGGTGGGGAGGGCAATCCACGTCGCCCACCCGCTCAGCCCTCTTGGGCCAGTCCAGCTCCCCCGGAGGGAAGCGCCAGGACCTCCCTGGCCCCACCTCGGGAGGCCTGCCCAGGGCCGGGGCTGCCCTCCGGCTGTGATCCGTTCCCCCGCTTTCGGACACACTCACCTGGATGCTGCAGCTGCTCCGATAAACGGCCGGCGGCTGCCACCGGACGGACCCGTCGTGGCTGACCAGGACGTTCACTTTCAGGGCGATGTCAAAGACGCCGTCGTTGCTGGAGGGACGGGATGGAGGGCGGGAGACGCAGCTCAGCGGACTCCGCGGCAGGTTCAGGAGGGCGGGGAGGACGAGGCCCCGTGTGTCTAAACTCGCCCGGGATGCTTGCTTTCCTTGCATTTGTGGGAGACCAGCGGCGTGGCCCCCCGGTCCCCTTAGCCCCTGACCCTCTGGCCTCCTTCAGCTCGAGGGCTGAAAGCAGTTTGGGCAACTTCCTGGACCCTGGATCCTTGGGGCTATCCGAGAACGGATGGGGACAGAGCTCTTACCGCTAGTAAGAAACGTTAGGGAGGTATTTTGGTCTCTTAGAATATGGGGGCGCACAAAAGCTGGGGGTGGGGAATGGGGAGCCTGCTTGGCCTGCTGGGCTGGATTTGGGCTACAGGAGGTTCGATTTGGCCCCTGGCCTTGTGGTCCTGCACTCACAGGAGGAGTACAGAGCGATGCGCTAAAAATGCAATCCGCCCATCTCAGCCACGCGTGGCCCGATTCTTTCCAGCAGCTTGGCAGGGGATCCCAGCTGGAGGCCACCTCCCCCCACCCCGGGGCAGCTGCATGTTGACTGTGCCACGGATCGTGGCCACTCACTTGTTCATGAGGAAGATATCCGGGCGCCACACCTCATCGGAGAAAATCCTGATGGAGGTGATGCCGTCGAAGTCGGCAGGGTCCCACGTCAGGCGGTAGTCGATCCACTCCTGCCGCCACGGAGAGAAAAGGGGTCGTGTGCATGGGGGGGGCACAAAGCCGGCTCTGGATGAAGCAGCCCGCTGGGTCTAGGGCCGCCCCCTGCCCTCAGAGCATCCACTTCCTTCCTTCCAGGGCCAGCCGGGCGGTTGCAATTTTCCAGGTGCTTAGCAAAAGCCACCCCAGTGGCACCCGGCCCGCCCGGCGTTTTGTAAACAGATGCGGTCTAGAAATTTCGGTGCTCAGCCTCACCAAGGGAAGCACCTTTCACCTGGCTACCTCAGGAACTCCCGATTTCCATTTTTCCTTTTGCTTCATAAAATCTTTCTTGATATTATTTTCTATGTATTCCGATCACAACTCCTGTTACAAATATTTTGAGCAATTGCGAAACTGTACATATAAATATCTCGATACATAAAATTCAGAGAGACACAGCAAAGCTCCCCTCTTAGGCAAGTGGAGTCAGAAAAGAAGCCGTACAACTCCCAGCATGCCCCAGCTAGGAATGGGGCATGCTGGGAGTTGTAAGGCTTCTTTTCTGTCTCAGTGTGCAAAGGCTTACAGCCTCGATCACTCTGATGGAACCGTACGAAAGGATCTTGAAGACAACGAGCACTGTGTTTTGGTTTCTGTGTTTACCCACCAGATCCATATAAACCTTTGTGGTCAGTTCTTCATCTTTTTCATTCTAAAAAAGAAGAAAACAGGCCAAAGAGGATGAGCGACTGCAAGGTCCCAGTGGAGTCAGGCCGAGGGAGGCTGCCCCGAGCACCCAGGCGGCTTCCTGCCGGCCCCCCACTCCATCGGGTCTCGGGTCGAGCCACAGACGTGGGGGCCTAAATTATTCCAGGAAATCAAATGATTAGTTTGTACGGGGGGGGGGGGGCTTACAGGCCCGGCTCCCCACCTGCCTTTAAACGCAAGAAAGCCATCTGTTCTCATTTTAAAATGCTTATGCCTGCTGCTTCAAACAGCGTGTTTTACACTTTATTGATTTAAAAATGTCATCCTGAGAAATGCCTGGAGGAAGCTCTCCCTGGAAAGGTGTGAAGGTACGTGAAACCAGGTGAAAACAAGGTGCCGCTCGGCTCTTCCCGTGCCAGTAAGACGCCGGCTGCTCCCGGCTTCCATCTCCCGGAGAAGCGTGTTGTGTGGGGATGCAGGAGACGGCCTTCTTTGGGGGAGACGGCACCCCAATTCTGGAGTGCCTTCCGGAACGAAGAGGCATGCATGCTGGCTGCGCACGGGGTCCTTTTCTCTGCGCCGGCCGAGGTGCGCTGCCGCCTGGCCCCTGCGGGTGTTGGGCAGAATCCTGCCGGGAGCGTGCCCCGCGCGCACCTGCTTCGCGCCCCTGCGTCCCCCCCGTTCAGTCTTCCCACAGTTCCCCGGGGCGCGGAGGCAGCGGGGCAAAGCAGCGCTCTGATTGCAGCCATGCGCTTCCCTGCCTGGTGGGGCTGGAGGAAAGGGCGGCCACCCTGCCCCCTTTCCCCCAGGGACGGACGGGGAACGGGGCTCCGAGGCTCAGCCACACCATTTGGGCAGGTGGGAGACCCATTTCGGCCCCCGCGCAATTTCTCAGCCCCCCGCAGGGCCCAGGAAAAGGGGGGAGGTCCGCCTCGCCGGCCCCCAGCCTGGTCTGCCCGCGACGGCCAAGGGGCTTCCCACACGTTGAGCCTGACCCTCACCTGGGGCTACCCGACCCCTTAGGCCAATGGGGGTTAATTAACAAGCCCCGGGTACCTGGCCAGGTGTATCCCCCACGCCTGGGCAACACCGTCAGCCTCAGGCGGCCACGTGGCTCACAGCCCACGCTGCCCCGTCCTGTCGCGCAATCCCAACCCCGGAGGTTCCTTCCGTTCCCGTTTATCCCGCTGCTTTATATCGCCTCGCTTTAAGCCCTGAGGACGCTGCCCTGCCAGCCATTTCCTGGTGGAGGTATGTGTTGTGTGTTCTTAAAATAAGCTAATGAAAGCCATCTCCCCAGCTCAGCCCGTGGGGCTCACCGGATGGGCTGCCCGCCCGCCCCCCGGGTCAGGCGGGGGGGGGGGCGAGGCTCGCCAGGGTGGTTTGCTCACTCGCCTTTGTCTCTGTGCCACTGGATAATTCGGTTATTAATAGCCAGCAAATTCAGCTGCTGCCTTGAACTATTTCCACGCCCAGCTCAGAAGAGTTGAAAAACAAACGTCCCCGTTGGAGCCGAGGAGCAGGACTGGGTCGGCGCCCGTCGCCTGCGCAAAGAGGCAGAGGCCTGCGTCGCCTGGAACGGGGCGAACGGGGATGCTGGGTCACGCGAGGAACGGCCCGGCATTCATAACCGAGGGACAGGCGCCCCGCAGGCCCTGCTCCTGGGTTGCTCCGATAAGCAGCTGACTCTCAAGCCGCGGTGTGGGTTTGCGCATGGGAACGGCACACGATTCCACAGCGATCGTGGTCGGACCGGCTCGCCCCACTGCAAGGCGGAGGGCGCCTCTGTTCCGCAGCGCACACCCGGGTCGCGGGCCCAATCCTGCAGCAGCCTGGCAGCGCCCCAGCGCCCCGGGCCGGCCACGCGGGTCACCGGCAGTGTGTGGCGACCGCCCCCCCCCCCCCCGTGGGAGCGCCGAGCCCTGCATCCTCGGACCCGGGCGCACTCACCAGGCTGATGAGCTGGGACAGGGACATGCCGATCCGGACGGGGACTTTGTCGGCGACACGGCGAATCGGAAGGACGGTCTTGGAGTAGTTCTGGGAGAGTTTCTCCAGCAGGCGGCCCTCAATTTCCGAGGCGCTTATGGCTACACAGAGAGGGGGGGTGATGGGGGTGGCACCCGGCCGGGCAGGCGGGCCCCCTGCGGACGCCCGCGCCTTTCCTCTGCGTGGAGGGCCGCCTTCCCCCGGCAGGGCCTGCAGGCGCAACCCCATCCTCCCCAGTGGGCATGACTGGGGAGCATGGGGGCTGCGGCCCGGCACGGCTGAAGGGCACGGCTCGGGAGGCGCACGCCGAGGGGCGCGGGGTCCGTGACGCACACCCGGGACAGCCGCGAGAGCCGAGCCGGGCCGAGCCGCCGCCGGGCGCCCGCCCAGCTGGTGCCCCCGGGGGGGCAGGATCGGGGCCCCCGCCCCCCGCCCCTTCCCGGGAGAGGCTCACCGCCCGCGCAGAGCGCCCAGAGGAGCCCGCGAAGCAGCGCCGCGCCCGCCATGCCGCGCCTCTGCCGCGCAGCCCTCCTCGACGGCCGGCCGGGCGGGGGCGGGCGAGGGCCGCCGCTCCCCGCCCCCCGCGGGCGAGGCGCCCATTGGCGCAGCAGCTGCCCGTCAGGGGGCCGGGGACGGGCGGGGGGCGCCGCCGCCCCCGGCATTTCCGCCCGGCCACCTGTCCCCGGCGGCCCTCGAGGCGGCCTCCCCGGCGCGGCGCCCCCGGGCGGCAAGCTCCCTGCGGCGCTCCCCAACGGGCGTCCCCCGGAGGGCCCGGCTGCCGCTACCGGGGGCACGTGGCTCAAGCCCGGGGGCCCGCTGCCGCCGCGCCAAGCGCTCCCAGCCGCGCCCGGAGCTGCGCGGGATCCTCCGGGAGGGCGGAGCGGGCGCCGTGCCTCCTCGCGGGGGGCCTCCTGTGGGCGCCCCGCAAGCCGGGCCCGCGGCTCCAGCGAGAGGCGAAGGGGCCACTCGGCCCGCGGGCCCCGCGCTCCTCGCCCCGCCGCGGACCTCCCGCGAGGGCCCTGCGCGGCCCCAGCCGGAGCGAGCGAGGCCCGGGCCGGATCCTGCAGGGACAACCGGGAACCCGAGTCCAGACGCCCCACGCGCCTCGGTCCCTCGCGGATAAGCACAGAGTCCACGCCGGACGAGTCGTACAAACGCTTCTTTTATTTCCAGAGTGCGGGATCGGGGCCGGGGACTCCGCTATTGCTGCGAGCGGGCCTTTTTCTCATGCAGGCCGCCACGGGCCAAAGGCAAAGAGTTTCCTGCTACGATTAGTTTTGCCTTCAGTGCTGGTCACGGGGGGGGGGTCGGGGGGGCCACCTCCCGGCAGGAGCCAGACGCAGCTGCTTGCTGCACCGCCCGCCGCGACGGGCGGCTTTGCCCAGGCCTGGGAAGCGGCGGGCTTGCGTGGCGCGCCAGTGCCCGGCTCTGCGGAGCGCCTGCGGAGGAGCCGGCGCGCAACCCGAGCTCCCAGTCGGAAGGCCTCGGGGTTTTGCGATCCCCCCCCCCAAAAAAGCCCGGATTTGCCCCGTGCGCCCACGCTCAGGCCGAAAGTTTCGCTGCGCGGATGTGGTTTCGAATTTAAAGATGAGGAGACCGAAAGAATTGCAAAATTTGGAGGAGAAATCAGCGCGATTTCCAGATTCTGAACACTTGGAAGCATGCAAATTTAAAGCGGAAATCAGACCTGCGCGATTTCAAGGCCGAATCAGGCGCGGGACGGGGGGAGGGGGGCAGAGCAGTGTGGCCCTTTGAATAACGTGGAGATTTGAACGATTGCAGTTTGCGTGTCTGGCCCCTGCGGAGAGGAGGTGGGCGGGGAGGGGCGGAGGGCGAGCACCGGCGCAGGGGCGAAACTGCGCGGGGGGCGAGGCGGCGGGGGGAGCCCGCACCGCCCCGCTCCGCCCCGCTCCGCTCCCTGCGCTTGCGCTGAGGCATTAAGGTGGTTGGGGGGAGACGAACACACAGTTATATACAGTATAATTTTCCAATATAAAGTAGACAAAAAGGGGAGAGGTTAGATTCCCAAGCCCAGAACTTCTGTGCCAGCCGGTTCCTCCCTTCCTTCTGGGGCAGTCTGGGCGCGCGTTCACACGCACACGCACACGCGCACGAGAGGGGAGGGGAGGGGAGGGGGCGTGATCGGAGGGGCGGGGGAAGGCGAGGACCGGCGCCCTTGGCCTTGGGGAGCTTCCGGACGTCTGAACTCGCCCTCTGGGCTCCACACCTGGCAAACAAACGCGGGAGAGGCGCCAAGGCGGGGGCGCGGCCGGCACGGGGCACGTCGGGGCGGTTCAGACGAGCTCCGGACCGCCTCCTTCACGGCGTGTTGGCTTGCGGCGGCCCCCGGATTCACGCGTGGCCGTGCCAAGCGCATGGCCGGAGGTTGCGTCCCGGTGCACAAGGGTTTCAGACGGGCCGGGTGCTTCGCGGGCAGAAATCTGGGCCGCAGCGGCTCGAAATCGGCCTTTGCCAGTTTCGGACTCTCTCAGGAACTGGGACCGGCCGCGGAAGAGGTCCGGGGGTTCAGAGTCACGCAGAGCTCGAAAGCTGGGCGTAAGGCTGCACGTGGATCTTCCCTGGGGCAGACTGGGGGGGGGGGGCACGGCCATCTGCACATGGTCAGGAAAGCAGCTGGCGTGCGAGCACAGACTGGCCCTTCGCTCCCGGGCTCTCAGCCGGGTGGCTGGGCTGGGAATCGCACCGCGGCAGCTCGGCCACCCGAGGCTGCGCCCTGCGGAGACGGCGTGGAATTCCTGAGTTCTCATGAACCCTGTCACCATGGGGGGCGGGTGGCCCGCTGGCCCGGTCTCGGGTGCCGGGTGGGGGCGGGTGGCCCCGTGGCCGGGGGTCGGCTATGGCTCTCGGGGGCACCAGCGCCGCCCGGGGGGAGGCGAGAGAGGGCCCGGCCTGCTGCCGAGACCCCTTATTGCTGCCTCCCCTTCCGGTCGCTGGCAAAGCAGAGCTCAAGTGCTCCTCAAAGATGGCCGGGCAGAGTCGGCCGGGGAGGGGGCCCCGGGGGAGGCGAGGGCCTGCCGCTTCTTCCTGCCACCGTGCTTGGGGAAAGGGGGCTGCAGGGCTTCCTGGGGGGCCCGGGGGGAGGCTGGGGCCGGAGCAGAGGGCAAGGGGCGAGGGCTGGGCACGGGGAGCTGGAAGGCGGGTGCTGAGGGGGTGTCTCGGTGCAACCCCCCCACGCCTGCTCGGCAGTGAGTCCCACTGAGTCCAGTGGGGCTCCTCCCGAGCAAGCGCGTGTCGTGGGGCTGCAGGCCCGGGAAGCAGGAGGTGCCTCGGTTCACGGGCTCCTGCTTGGCTTCTGGAAGACACACACACACACACACGTCAACGTGGGGCAAGACCTCGCAAGCGCCCCTCTGCACCCCCCCCCCCCCGGGCCTTTCCAAGCCCAGCCAGCGGCCCTCCCTCCCAGCCCTGCGAGCCAGAAGCCGTATGTCCCAGACCTCAAAGCGCCATTCGCGTCGGTCCCCCCACAAGAATCTGCTGCCGATGGAAACCCTGTAAAGATAGTGGTGCGGCTCGTGTGGGGCTCCTGGGACACAGTGGGGGGGACACAGGTGCAGGGCCCCATAGCACCCCCACTGTTTGCTTCCCCCAAGTTCCCCTCGCCGGCAAGAGTGTTGCAGCGCTGCGAGAGTTCAAGCCGTCCTGCTCCCCCCACGGAAGCCAGAATGGCCGAGCCGACACTCAGTGGCCGAACCGCAACCTTGCCCTCCCCATGGAAATGGTGCTGCCATCCAGTGGTCAAAAGGAGCATTACAGAGGGGGGCCGGGGGGCTACGTTCTCCTCGCAGGCAGTGAAGTCTCCGCTGGCAGGACGGCGTTGGCTCCAGGTGGACCCCCAAGCGCAGACTCTCCTCCTGCGGGGACCCGAAGTGGGGAGGCAGCACCGATCTCTACGGCGCCAAAACGGACATCCTGGAGGTGGAGGGGAAGGGCCCCCTTCTCAGACTGGCTCTGCAGGAGCGGTGCTGCCCCGTCCATCCCGCAAGGCCATCCTGTCCCTCTGGAGAGAAGAGCGCTTCAGGGGCAGCCCTTGGCCAGACCGGCACACCTTCCCCAGAGAATTCCCGAGTCGTTCGCTTCTGCACTTCACAGAACTCCGGGAACATCTGCTATTTCCCAATGGTTCCGAACCGGACGATGTCGCCACCCGGGGGCTGGAAAGGGTATCACGTAGGTGTTGTTTAAAAAATTCTTAAGAAAATGGAAGATCTTTATTCCCTGTAGCAGGCGACACGGGGTCGCGTTCCATTGGTGGTTAAAAGAGTGTCGAAACACTTGCCCTGCATCTTCCCGGCGTGTGTCAGAAGTCGGGGCGTCGATGCGGGAGAAGCGAAGCGTGGGTCGCGCCCATTCCGTTTGCATGGAAGACTGGAGAGATCGGGCTTTTCCGAAACGCTAACAACCTTCCGGGCAGACGCAGACCGGAAGCGCACAGTGGATTCGTCAGAGTCCGAGGAAAGGGGGTCTGCCCCCCACGCACCGCCGCAGTGCCACCCCACGGCTGCGTGTGGTGAGCGCGTATGGCTTGAAATGGAAGACGGCGCCGACGCGGCCGTGGGGGTCTCCTCGTGGGCGAGGGGCGGCGTCCGTGGCTTTGGCCAGCGCCTCCCCCCTTCTGGCCAGGTGGCGTGGGCTTTCCCAAGTCCCAGAGGCTGGAGGCGAGAGGGGAGAGGGCATCCTGAGAAAATCGAGGGTCTGTGGACGAGTGTTTCCAAAGGTGGTTCGGAGAGTGGCTGCCAGAAAGTGAGGTACAAGCACGCAGGAGAGGTGGGGGGCGGAGGAGAGCGGACCCCCCCCGTCCTCAGGGCTACGTGGCCTCCGCCTTGGAGATCTCTTTGACGGAGGCTGCGGGGGCGCTGCCCTCCTCCGCCTTCTTGGCTGCAGCCGGCTCCACGACGTTGTGTAGCGAAGGTTCACGATACAAGGCCACTGCGGGGGGGGGGGAGAGGGGAGAGGTGAGACACGGCGAGGCCCGAGCGCTGGCCCCTGGCGCCGCCCGGCCGGCCGCGGGGGCGCTTTGGGGAGGCCCCCAGAGGCTTCTCGGGGGCCTTTCGCAGGGTGCCGAGCGGGGCTTGTGCGAGACGCACCGGGGCAGCAGGAAGGCACACTGAGCCGAGCGGGAGCCTGCCTCCACGGCGGCGGCTGCGCAAGAGGCCAGCTGCGTGAGACGGGACGCGAAGGCCGGCTGTGCGGGGGTGCCTTGCCCCCGGGAAACGGCACATGGGGGCTGTTGCAAGGGGCGCATCCCCCTCTCTCACCTTCCAGCAGCTTGGGGAGGAAGTGGGCTGCCGCTTTGGTCTTCTTGACTCGGTTGCCCTTCATCACCTGCCCGTCTTTGTTGATGCCCAGAAACCACGACCGCCCCGATTCCCGCTGCCGGTACAGGGTGGAGGAGTACATGACGTAATAGTTCTCGAAGACGCACTCCTTGAAACGGCACTCGGCGGTGAAGTGAGCCTGCGGGGGGGTGGGGGGGAGAGGCTGAACCCACCGGCTCCCCTGCAGAGCGGCATGGCGCCGCTTCCAGCCAGAGCCCCGCGTCGCCCGCCGGGTGCCCAGCCCTTCGCTTGGGCTGGTTTCTGGGGTCGCTCCCTGCAAATTACGATCCTTTGAGGCTCACCCCTTTCCCTCGCCCAAAGCGCCTCCCAGGCTCCACCTCCTTGCCATCTTACCTGCACAACAACCCTGTGAGGGAGGTTAGGCTGAGAGCTGTGCCTCACCCAGAATCACCCGGTGAGCTGTGCGATTGGTGGGGGGCCGGAAGCTGCATCTCCCGGCCTCTTTCTGCGTGTCTGCAAGCATGTCTGGGGGTAAGGAGAACGGGGGGCGAGGGACCACAACCATTCTGGGGGTTAATGAGTGCATCGGGAATTCTGGAAGCGCGTCGCAGGCGCTGTCACAAAATGGCTCCTACGGGGGCCACGTGCCCACGCATTGAAGGGCTGCGGCCGTGGGCACGGCGGGCCGCAAAGCACTCGCTTTCCCGAAGGGCAGAGCTGGGGAGGCGAGGAGGAGTGCCAGTCTCAGGAGCATGAGAGCGACCGTCGGGGGCCTCGGGGCCCCCCCACGGGCTGCGTGGAGCACCGGGGGGGGGGCCGAAAGCAGCCCCTTCTTTTGCACCAGGCCAGCACCTCCGGTCATTTTGGGCTTCCGACACGGTCCGCGGAAGCAGATGGCGACCGGGAGGGGCGGCAGGGCCCGCTGGCACCCGGCGCACCCAGCTGGAGGCACGAACCAGAGGAAAGGAGGCCGAGGAGCAAAGCTCTCGGGGCGCCCATCCCCGCACGTGGAGAGGGGAACGGCCTGCAGTCCGAGCGGAGGCCCAGAGCCGGGGGCGCCGGGAGCCCCGTCCGCGGCCGGCAGCGCAGCGGGGCCGCGCCTCCGGGCAGGCGAGGCGGCTGCAGGGCCCGCTGCGGCCGCCAGGCGGTGCTGCCGGGCGCTCCGCGGGGTTGCGCCAGGACGCCTGGGTCCTCGGCCCAGAATCGTGCGGCGGCGGCGGCCAGCGGAGCCATCTCGCTAATGAGAGCGCGGTGTCCCCGCGCGAACGGGCCGGGCCGGGCCGGGCCGCGGCGCCGGGGGGCTCCCTCCGCCCGCTTTCTCGCGAGGGCGGCGGGACGCAACAGGCGCCTCCCCCCGCGCAGCCGAGGGGAGGCTTGTGGGGGCGGGGAAATGGGGGCGCCGCGCCCCCGCTCTGCTCTGCCCTGCCCTGCCCTGCCCTGCCCTGCACCTTCGCTCCCCGCCCTGCAGAGCCCCGCCTCCCCCGCCTCCCCGGCCCGGATCGGGGTTCTGCTCCCCCCTCGCAGCCCACCCAAGTCTCCTAGCCGGGGCAGGGCAGGCACCGGGCGGGGGGGCGCAGGGAGGCGGTCCAGGAAGGGCTGCCGCTTGGCTGCTCAGGGGAGCCCATGGCCCCCGACCCCGGAGGCTCAAAGGGGCGACCTCTGGTCCCGACACCTCGAGGGAGGGGGCAAGTTCTGTAGGGTGTGGCTGTGGTACGGGGGAAAGGAGGAAGGCTCTCCGCTCATGCTCAGGGGCGCTCATCTTTCTTACTGGATTTTGGCAGACAGAGGGTTCCTCTCTCCGGCTGCCTCCTCTCTCCTCCCCTTTCCCACCCCGCTTGCATCCTGCGGCTGGCCCCCCGGGCCCCCCCCCCCCCCCCGTCCCTCACACATGCTTTAGGCCTGTCAGCCTCCGCTCGCCTCATCGCTTCTGACAGTCACCATCTTCCCAGGGAAATCTCCTCTCCGGCAGCTGTTCCCCGTTCCCCTGCCGGATCGGGGTCACCTCTCCATGCAGCTGATAAATGATTCACCGCAGCCTCCCCCCACGCCCGCTCCCTCTCCCATCATCCACGTGCCGTGCCCATCCTCCCCCAGCTGCCAGGAGGGGACCCGCCGGTGTCCAGCCACCCCCAGCCAGCCCGAGCAGGGGCTGGCTCCGAGGGGCTTTGGGCCCCCGTGCTGCAGGGGGTCTTCCTGGGGCACGGAGTGGAGCGGGCCCGGCTGGGCCCAACCCCCGCTGGACCGAAGAGCACAAGCAGGAGGGGTGGGGAGGCTGGCCGTGGGAAGGGGGGCCACCCCCGCATGGCCCGACGTTTCTCACGGGGGGGGGGGGGCCCAGAGCGTGTGCTCCGTGAGTGGAGCGGAAGGGGTCGGCTCCCGCAGCACCTCCTGGGGGATCCTCGTAAGTGAGCGCCAGGTGCACTGCAGGGGGGCTGCCCTCCGTTCTGGGGGGAGCAGCTGGGGGCTCCAAGCAGATGCGCCCCAAGTTGGGCTTGCCTCTCCCCACAGCACGAGCCGAGGTTGCATGCTGCAGCAGGGGCCCACTGGGGAGGGCCCCTGGTGACACTCCCCCCCCGGCACTCTGCCCCCGCTGGGCTGCCCCCGCCCTCTGGCCCAGGCCATGGAGGTGGCGAGAAGGGGGCAGGGGCTGCAGGCCTGTGGGGTGTTTGCCCAGCAGGGAGGGGGGAGAAGCGGGCAGAAGTGGAGCAGCTGCCGGCCCAGAGGGCCCCTGGGGGGGGGGGCTGCACAGGGAGGGGGTTGTCCAGGGCCCTCCGAGCCCAGGAGCCTGCTGTGGGGGCCCTGGGCAGCCCGCCGGCTAGGGGGCGCTGCTGGAAGGAGCCACCAGCTCCCTTCTGTTTTGGGGTCAGGGAGTTCTCCCCGGGAGGCTTCACTAAGGAGGGCAGCTTCTAATTGCGTCTGAGGAAGAGGGAGGGAGTGTGCGGGAGCCGTCCCCCTCCCCTCCCCTCCCCTCCCCGGGAAAGGTGCCACCAGCTCGGTTCCAGGAGTCCCTGCCGCGCTAGCCGAGAGGCAGCCAGGGCACCACGCGGGGGGACCGGGTGCCCCTTCCCCGCTCAGCGCTGGCCTTGCCACCCGGGCGCTCATCTGCCGCAGCGCAACCCACGGGCAGGGGCTGGGGAGACTCGCCGGGCGAGCGACTCGGTCTGCTGGCTGAGGGTTCCTGGGAGCGGCCCCTCAGCCTCCAGAGGGCCCCGCGTTGGGGAAGGGCGCCCTGTGGTGACAGCGCCCCCTGCTGGTTTGCCTGTGCTCTGCTGGGGCCTCAAAGCTCTGCTGGGGCCACTTCTTAGCAGAGGCACTTCGGGCGGCCGCATCCTGGGACGGCTGAGCGCAAGCATGCGGGCGCCCAGCCCTGCCTTCCCCGCCTGCTGCCTCGTCCTGGGGCCCCGCTGGCCCCGGCGGGCACTGGCGGAGGCCGGGCGCAGGGCCGGGGGTGGGTGCAGGGCTGTGCCCTCTGCTGCTGCTCCGGAGCCGCGGCCCCTTCGGCTTTTCCAGGAAGGGCTGAGATGCATCGCCGCCGGCCCCACAGCTGGGAAAGGTGGAAGGGCCCAGCTGGGAGTCGGGGGGGGGCGGGCAGGTCCCTTTGGGGTCCCCGCGCATGGCCGCCTGGGCAGGGCATGGGCGGGAGGCGATGGGGGTACTCACGGAGGTATACAGATAGCCCTCTGCGTTCATGGCGACGTACTGGCCGGACTTGCTGCTCTGGATGGCGACCACGCGGAGGCCAACGGGGATCAGGTTGAAGAGGGCTGGGAAGGAAAGACGGAAGGAAGGACCGTTCGGAGCCCGGCAGAGCTGCACCCAGAGCCTCGGAAGGCCCGGGCGGGGCGGCCGCCGAAGCCCCCAGACTGGATCTGGGCCCCAGCTGCCAGGGGGCTATGCTTGGAGCAGAGTGGGGGCCAGGCCCACGGGCCCATTGGGGGCGGGGAGCTCCCGGGGTGGAGGAAGCACCCAGGAGCCGCCGGGCGCTCCCTGGGGAAGGGGAGGGCGCGATCCGGAGGCCCTTGGAAGGCAGCCTGGGAGGTGGCGGCACGCCAGCCGGAGCCTCGGCCCTGGGGGGGGACCCGCTCCTCCCAGGTGCGGCCTTTTGCCAGGAGAAGCAGGTGGCGACCTATTCCCAGGGGGCCGTCCTGGTAAATGCTCAGTTAAGGGCTGCAAGCTCCGCTTCGCATTCCGCGCACGTGCCGCTGAGGCAGCGGGTGGGGGGGCAGCGGCCCCTCCGTCGGGCCGCCTCCCCACTCTGTCTGCAGGGACATAGCTGGCAGCCGCCTTCTGAACACCCCCCTTGCCACAGCAGCTGGGGCAGGAAACCCCCCTTCCCGGAACGACCCCCCACATGCGAAGCACTGCTGGGCCAGCGAAGCCTTGGATCGTGGACTGTGGGATTGGGACATCGCCGGACCTTATATGGGCCCAATCCACTGGGAAGCTCTCGCACACAATCCCCACGGAAGGGGCTGTCCCGGAGGAGGGGCCGCCTGGTCGGACACCCCCCAGGTGAGACCCCCACCCCCCGGGGCCCAGCTGCACTCACTGAAACAGTTGGTATCTTCTCTCGTCCCGTCGATGCTGCCATCCGGGTGGACCTGGAGGTAATACCCGTGCCGACAGAAGAGCTTGGTGACGATGCCTTTCAGCTGTGGCTCTGCAGAAGGGAGGGGAAACCGAGTCAGGGAGGCACGAAAGGCGCAGTGGTGCACCCCAGAAGGAAGTCAAAACCATCTGGGAGAAGTGCAAGGGATCCTGTCCCAAAATGTATTGAGAAGCTTCCATCAAAACAGAAATGGGGGTTCCAAGAGCAGCCCCTTCCCTGCAGGTCTGTGGTATCAAGAAAGAACTAGAAAAGCAGCCATTTTTCCAGGCTTCTCTGGGGAGGTGGAAAGCAGTGAAATCAGGGTCAAAATAATCCAGGTTTCTAAGATTTCCCAATATTTTTTTTTACAGCAGACTCGAATTGATGCTAACATTTGCCTTCGTTCCAGCAGCCAGAGAACACCCCCCCACCGTGGCCACGGGGCACGGGGGCCACACTCCCTGCCTCCCAGGCAGGCCACTGCAGCAGGCAGGGTCCAACGTGAGCCACGGAAGGAGTAGCCACAGGGGGCCTGCTGTGGACCCCCCCAGCCCCACACCTGAGGCAAAAAAATCTATAAGAGCATTCAAAGAGCTGGGGCTCGTTTCCCCCTCCTCCCTCCTCCACGCTCTTCCTTTTGTGTCGTGTTTTCCGGTTCTGAGCCTGAAGGCAGGGCTAGCTCATGATGAATCTGTGTAAGCCGCGCTAAGACCCTTTTTGACAGAAAGCTCTGGCAAAGCACTGTAAATAGAATTATCCGATGTGTAAATATCCCATCAAGGCTTCACTTCCTGTACAAGCAGCAACCAGAGGCGCAAGCAAGCTTTCCACGCTCACTGCGCACCAGGCGCATGGGTGCCTGTGTCTGGTGTCCGCCAGCCCAGGCGAGGAACCCGCCCCACCCCGTCGTGTGCCTGGACTGAGCCCCACAGGCAACGGGCCGGGTCTTGGCCAGGCCCCCGCCCCTTCCGGAGAGTCCAAGTCGGACCGCAGGGCCCTGGTCCCTTGGGGGCCCTCGAGCGACACCAAACCTCCCCCGCCGAACTGGCTCTCCTTCGAGCGAGCAGCACCTGGCCAGGGGAGGTGCGTCCCCGCAGGGCCGCGACTGACGCGTTTGGGGGCCGTGCAGCGGAGCTCTGGAGGGGTTGCGTGAAATAAGTGGGGCACCATGAAGAACGGAGACGCAGGGGCCCCCGAAGACGCAGGGCCAGGAGCTAGGAAGGGTGGCCGGAGATGCTGCAAGCCCCTGGGAAGGCCTGCGTGGCCGTGGCCTTCAGAAGTGCCTGGGGGGGCCAGGAGCCCGTCCCGCCTCTGCTCGCAGGGGCCTGTCCGTCCGTCCGTCTCTCTGCAGGACCATGCAGACCCCCAGGCTTTCTCCAGCGCCCACAACCCAGCCGAGGCACCTCCTGGCCAGCCCCGCGGTGCACGTGGAAACGGCAAGATGGGCCATGACAGGAAGCCCCCCGGGGGCGGGAGCAGAGCGGAGGCCGTGATGCAGGCCGGCGGGTGATGCAGGCCGGCGCGTGGCTGCCCCCCGTGTCCTGGAGAGTCCCGTGGCCCACCAGAGGTAATCCCAGCTGACAGGATTAGAGCCAGCTGTGCCCCCCACCCGCCCCTCCTCAGCAGCTTTTCCCCGATCTCCACGCAGCCTCTGCCTGGAAGGACCCAGGAGTCCGGGCTCACGTGCCCAAACCACTGAGCCCAGGTCCCTCGCCAGAAACCCCGCATTTGTTCTGAGCACGCCTTCCGTTCCCATGCTCCCCGGCCTGCTCAGCCCATCCGCCTCACTTGCCCGGAAGGCAAGCTAAGCTGGGCTTTGGGGCCCCGGCAGGCCAGAGGTGAGACAGCCTCCCTGCAGGGGCGTGTTGCCCCCTCCCAGGGCAGGGTGTGGGTCGGTGGCTCAGGAGATCCAGGTTCGAGTCCCCCCAGTCACAAAGCTCTCTGGGCAGCTTGGGCCAGTCACGGCCTCCCAGCCTGGCCGCCACGCAGGGTTCCCACGGAGGACCGAAAGCAGAAGGGCCACAGGCACTGCCTCTGGCTCCCTGGAGTGAGCAGAGCGGGAAGGAGCGTGCTCTGGAGGGACCCCCCGGGCGGCTGGGACTGGCGCTTGTGTTCCTCCTGGCGGAGGCCACCCCCACACGGTACAGCCCCATCTGGCGTGAGGACGGCCTGGTTTGCGCCCGTTGCTCCGCCGCTCCTTTCACACATGCGGGTGCAGGGGGGTACGGTGAGCGGCGCTTGTGGGGTCACGAGCCTAGCAGCAGGGGCACGTGCCCCCTGCGTGCAAAGGGGGCACAGTCCAAGAGGGGCGCCCTCGTGCTCACGCACGTGCACGCAGCTCCCTCCGCGGGGCAGGCTGGGCACCTCTCTGGCGGCTCGGCCTCGGCCAAGTGAGGAGCCGGCGCGCTTTGTTTTCCGCACACGGCCCTTTCTGCCTTCTGACAGGCCTCGGAAATAATTCACGAGCTCCTGGTGAAGGGCTTTCTCCTTCTGGGCCCAGCATCTGCGATGTGACAGGCAGGGAAAGGCTCTTAAGCAACGATACTTAGCAGAGAAAAATGGGCCCTTTTAATGGGCTGCCGAGAGAGGTTCCCGCGTAGTCAAGGCTGGGAGATCGGAACATTTTAATTCTATTGTTTCCTCAAAGCGGAAAAGTTGGGGCGGAGGCGAACGCTGGGAAGAGGTCCAAGCCGTCCAGGAGGGATGAGCTGCAGGGGGACGGCCAGCGTCCAGGAGGCTCCGACGTGGGGCTGCCCGGTCCGCGGCAGAACGGGCTCCGGCGCCTCATTAGCGCAGGGGTGCGGGCCCTCGGAGCCCTTGGGCCACGGCCCCCGCTGGACGGCCCGCGGGGCTGCAGAGGTGGGCTGGGCAGAGCCGCGGAGACACAGGCCTCGGAAGACCCGCCTGCCGCAGGCCGGCTGCCAGAGCGCCCCTCGCCGTGCCTCAGGAGGGTCCTGCAGCCGCGCAGCAGAGGGGGAGCCCGCGGTTGTGAGGAAGGGGCAAGGGGTTATTTATTCCGCGCTCCGTGCGCAAGCGAGGAGGCGGCATCCCACAAAGCGCCCGCCACACTGGGACCCACGTGACTTAGGGGCTTGCTCTTGGCTTGCTGCAAAGATGACAGCTAGCCCCCCGTGCGGACGGCGATGGCCGAGGCTACGAGAGAGTGCCGGAGACCATAAGAAGCGTCGGGCCGGATGCGACCATTCAGCCAGGGGTTTCTTCCTGGGCCAGCCGGCCCCACACAAGGCACGAGTGCAGCAACACGCCTCCCATGCTCACCAGCCATGGTGCGCCTGGGCACGCTGCCGCTGGAGAAGGCAGCTGGCCCCCAGCGAGGCCGCTTCACCCGGGGCATCCAGCACCACCGGAGGGGGACAGACTGGCCCGCACGCCCGTCCCTGGCACATGCTGTGCGCCCCCCCCCCCGTGTGGCTCCTCCTCAGCCCACCGGCCCAGGTGCTGTCGGCAGGGCCAGCCACGGCCCCGGACAGGCGTCTCCGCCACCCTTCCCTGCGGCGCCCCCTCTCCGGCCCCACGGGATCCTCCGAGGAGGGCGAGCGGTGCTGCAGGAGGCGCCGGTGCGCGGTGCGCCAGACGCGCACAAGGGCACGGTGAACTTGGCCACCTCCGCTCCCGTGCCTTCCCCGGCCTTCCCGCTGGCTCCCCTCCAGAGGCGCAGGGCACTGCTCCCACCCACAAGCGTCCCCCACACCGGCCAGGGATGCTGGGGCCGGGGCCGGGCAGGACTCGGGGCCAGGCTCCGGAGCGGGCCTGCCGGGGGGCCTCGGGGCACCATGTCCCGGATCGCGCCTTGCGGGGGAGGGCTGGCAGGCGGGCCGTGCGGCCACCGAGCGCTTCGGGGCATGGGCCCTCCGGGGGGTGGACGCAGCCAGAGCAATGCCCAGCCAGCCCCCGTCCCCGTCCCCGTCCACTTCCCCTCCCCTCGCTCTGGCTCAGCGTGGGGGGGCGATTCAGATCCCCGCAGAGGCCATCTGGCTGGGGCCAGGGAGGCGTGTGAGAGGCAGCCTGCAAACGGGGGTCCGGAAGAATGTGGGGGGCTCAGGTCTGGGTGTGGGCTTGGTGGCCCGGGAGCCGTGCCTGCAGGCTTCCAGGATGGGCCCCGTGTGGCCACGTGCCTGGGCTGCCCGGGGAGGCGCCGTGGGTGGGGCTTCGTGCCGGTAGTGCCATGAGCGAGTGAGGAAGTCAGGGGGCAGTGGCATTAGGGGGGGGCGATGGAAGGACAAACAACCATGTCCTCAGACTGATGAGACAGGGCACCAGGTGAGCATCCACGCAGGGGTCAGGAAGGGAGGGGGCCGGAGGGCGAGGGGGATGCCAGGGAACAGTCTGAGGGCTTCATGAGGACTAGCCTAGTGGAGGTAGTTCTGGAGCGTGACAGGGCTGGGTGTATCCGGGAAACGCAGCGTGTATCCTGACACGGGGTGGGGGGGAGCTGTGGAGTAGGCACTGCGGGCTCTTCGAGCAAGGAGGGTCAGGTGGGGCCAGAGCTAGAGATATGGTGGGGGGGGGCAGGACAGCGCTGCGGTGAAAGGGCAGCAGAATGGATGCCGCCGGAGAATCCGTCTTTCTCGCTGGCTCGAGGACCGAGGGGCCAGTCACTCCCCCGCCAGCTTCCCCCTGCCTTTCCCCCAACTCTGTAGTATATGCAAATATATGAAAATGGCTTAATTTATTTTAATGTGCATATGTTCAGCCTAGAGGGTTACAGCTGGGGAGCATAAATAGGAAGGAAAGTAGAGATGGAGGATTAAGGCGGGGGGAGTCCAGCAGGCGGGAGACGGCTCGGCCGGGCGGGGGCGGGGGGGTTAAGGGGGGCGGCGCTGCTGCTGCTCCAGGGACAACCTCGGGCGTGCTCGGGGTGGGGACCCTGGGGGGAGAACCGCCGGGAGGGGGCAGCTGCCGCGGCCAGGGAGGGGGGCGGCGCGGGGGGCGCACGCCTGAGCCGGCCGGCGGGCGCTCGGCATCCCCGGCATCTGCGGCGGAGGCAGCCATCCTCTTGACGCCCCACTTTCCCAGCAGCACCTCGAAGAAACCCCGCGCCCCCGGGGGCC